ATAGATGTTGGCCGATTCTCAGACCTACCCGATATGCACACAAAATTTAATAAAAATCGGTAAAGCCGTTTTTAAGCAGTTTTGTAACAAACACCGCGACACGAGAATTTTATATATAAGACTAGTTACTAGAGGTGGGTAATAATAGTAGCAATCTATATAGCAAATCTATATATTTTAGTTACAATATAATGGCCCAATAACGAATATATTAAAATTTTGTTATCCAATGAAATGAAATGAAATGAATTTATTTTGCTAGAATGCAGGTAATTTTAGATGATAGAAGTTTATATTTCCCGTGTACATTCTGCCTCTATGTCGGCGTGCAAGTTTTTAACAATATAAGAAATTTATATATATATTCTACATTATATTTCCTTTCCTTAGTCATACAATATATTATTATTATTTATTACATTAAACGGAAAATAAAAGCTTGTAAAATAGTTGTACAAATTAATAAAATATTTTAACAAACTGTGATATTAATTAGTGTATAAGAACAGAAGCATCAATGGTATCTCTAGTGTAGGTTGTGAAGTGCATATGTTTTAGCGAAATATACATTAGTGGTATAAAACCCTATAAAAGATAATATTGGGTGATAATAATAACCAAAAATTAATTTAATGATGTGCGTTTGCGTTTTGATGATGAACGGATGATATGATGATGATGATGATGATGAATAAATACACCTAGTATTTGAAGGGATTTAACCTGGGTAAATAAAAATAGATAAAAATTATACGTACTTTGATGTATATATATTAATTTGATGTAATGCAATATATTATTATTATTTATTACATTAAACGGAAAATAAAAGTGTAAAATAGTTGTACAAATTAATAAAATATTTTAACAAACTGTGAAAGGTATAAGGACAGAATCATCAATTATCTCTGGTGCGTTATGATTGGCGTTCATTAATGGTTTGCGACTATTTAACATAATCGAAAATAGATATCCGTTCGATATGGGCGATGTTGAAATGGACAGTGATCTTTTTTCCGCCATCAATGTCCAAAGCAATGCAATATATATGTAAATATGAAAGAAAGAAAGAAAGATGTCGACATCGGATCGGTATCCATATCACCTATATTTTAATATATATTATTGATGTCACGTGTGAAATTGCTGTTTCTTTTGGGATCAAAATTCACTTGTTAAAGATATAGATGAAATTAAAATATAATCTACTCGTGTACCAAATTTCATTCAAATCCGTTAAATCGTTACAAACTTTCACAATTATAATATTAATAGGATGCTTACATATAGGTATCAAATTAGAATAAATAGATTAAAGAATATTATATTTCTCTTACGATTTTAGCCGATTAGTGGAAAAAAATACAAGAACATGAATCTATTAATATTAATTCTTCTAATTAGTATCTAAAGGAGTACTAATGTTGTCTCATTTAGTCGTAGATAACCTATAAAGGTTATCTTTACACAACAAATGGTCAAGCAAATCTCGACCATCTGACCAACTATAGTTATTACCCGCTATAATCAGTGGACTATTCTGAGATTTATGATAATAACGTTCGAAATTTTAAAGATTAATTTAATCATAATATTAATTTTAAGTATAGCTATATCTCGCGGCCTCTTCCGCATGAATCAGGATATAGCGTATACCCGTGTAACAAACCTCAAATTTTGAAATTTGTAGAAAAATAAATAATGATTAACAGGACGTATGCGAGGTTGTGCGCGCAGAAAAATTTTATATTATCATTCTTTTAAATACATAAACGTTTTAACAATTTGTTGAATATTTCAATAACTTATTTTCAATAACTGGCGATTCCGATAAGTACATAAAGTAATCTATGTGCTAAGTTAGGATATAACCTACCTGTGTATCAAATTTCATTCAAAACTCTCCAGCAACTTTTACGTGAAAGAGTAACAAACATCTATCCATTCTTAAAATTTTTGCATTCATTATATTAATAAAATAAGTATTAATATGGATTTACTTGTTAGAAAGCAGTTCTCGGTGCCTACAGACATGAACAACACCACGGAGGGAAAAATCTGTTGTATTCCGCATACGTTGCCATTCCCTAGGTGCATTGCAATATCCTATAGCACCCTTAAAATCGAAACACTTTGTTTTCGCTGATGATAATGTGGTCTTTTGTTGGGCTATATATTAAGTGTCTATACTCAGATATAAATAAAAAAAAAATCGTTATGTACTGTTTGTCTTGTTCTTTCAAATATATTCGTAAGAATTTTGTATCGTTTTTATTTTTCAACATTATTTTACAATACAGTTTCTCCTCATATACTAAGTAATAAATGTACATTATATTACATTATATTGAATTGTTGACGAAAAAGTTGAACGTAGAGATGTTGATCTCTGTTTTTCATCAGTGCTCTGAAACTTTTGTAGGAGATAATAGATTTTCACCATCGTACAACCCGGTAAAATATAATCTGACAAGTGGGGTCCTCCACCGTGCGTTTTTAAGCACTTTCTCCCACGCACAATATTGGTTCCAGCAGCAGTACGAACCGATACGACAACATAACCTTCAAGAAAAGAGCATATTCCTTTTTAAAAGGCCGGCAGCACACCTGCAATGCCGTAGGTGTTGTGGGTGAACGGTAGTCATTCAGTCAGTCTTCACTGTGCGTAAAAAAAAAAAAAAATGACTGACCTGTTTTTCACAAAACTTGTAGGAGAAATAATATTTTCTTTAATATAATTTAAGATATTGTTAACGAAAAACCCCATTTTTCCACTCAGTCAGTCTTCACACGAAACTGGAAACTATCGTTAATAAATTCTTAACAAATTTTTCACGATGGGCTAACTGATCTATTTTCATCTTCATCCATCATCACTCACTGGTGCTCCGCCAGCGTATTTCGATAGCGCAAGCGGGGTTACCATTCCATTCTCATCCATTAAAAAAATATAGTTGAGAACCTCTTTTTTGTGCATTAGCAAAATTATTTTACATGCCCTGTAATATCATTTTGTTAAATAAACTCTAAGACTAAACAATTAAAAAGTTATGCGTTTTTTATCTTCATTAAATGCGTTATTACATATTTGTGTTTAATACATAAATTCATATGTATCTAAGACGGTTAACCATTTTAGTATGTACAGGATTCTAATTTCAATAAAATCTCGATTTATACATTGGCAGTAATGCACAGAATGTTTCCTTTATCTATTTGCGCACTTAATTATCATTTAATTTGTAGACATTATTGCACATAATGAAAATTACCATAATTACTTATGTATTCGTGTTGAATACGATGGGTTCCGTATCTATCTATTTTTAGAACTGCTTGGCAAAATGTAATTCAAAATCTTTATTATAGATTTTTCCGTTTTATTAAATTTGTAATATATAAAAAATAAAATTTCATATATTATTATAACATCGATTCATTGTGATTATATTATACGAGAGATCTTTATTTTCGATTTTGATGATCATTTTTGTTGAATTTTTTTTTTTTCATAGATTGAAAATGATGTTTTTTTAGGAATAAAATCTAAAAAGAAAAAAAGGAAAAAAATCATTCCTTGATCATTAGCGATGGATATAATTATATTAATTACCTAGTTATATACGCTTGGCGGACTGCAGTTAGGTTTTGGTGATGTTTTAATATGCGAAATATATATTGTTTTATTTTTAACCGCGGGATGATAAATGGAATGGTACTGCCACCACGCCTGCGCTATCGATATACGCTGGCGGGGCACAAGTGATTACGATGGGCTAACTGACTTGCTTTCATCGTCACCTATCATCCCTCAGTGGTGCCCCGCCAGCGTATACCGATAGCGGAGGTGAGGTTACCATTCCATTATCATCCATTAAAAAAAGCTGCCGCGGTTCTTTTTATCAACAAGAGTTAGCGACATCTATGGTCTATGAATTTAAACTTTGAGATGATCCGTTAGATTTATGGTTGATATAGCTAAAGCTTCTTAACTCATTTCATAGGTGGCACCACTACCTATATACCTAACATAATATTGACAACAAAGTAGTTTGTTGAATAAAAAAATAAAGAAATAAAAAAAATACAATTTCATTATCTAACATATGTTGCTGCGTTGAACATTGAACTTGATGTGGTGCGCCTGGGCAGTTGTTCAACTTAATAGCTAACGTTAAGCATCACGCTATTGGGTCTATTATAACGAATCTTTCGTACAATAGCTGATAGCCAAATAGCTCGCTTTAAGCCAGCTTTTAAATCATACTTAGCCGCTTAGTTAAGTTATTAAAATTTCGGCAGGTTGCTCATCCCTATCGACTGTTAAGTTCTCTTAGTCACCTCTTATGACGCATAGAAAAGGAAGGGGTGGCCTTTTCTATGTCGGGACCATATGGCATTATTTATCTGGAATATAACAGTAATATTTATAAAAACTGATTAACTTTTGACGTTTTGTAATTGAATTGGGTTTAAACCGAGGTCACATCGAATGTGCGTCAAATATAAGTCAATACATACTCTATTTTAAAACTATTGTATTCGATTGCGACTTGATCTCAATTCATTTATGTCAAAAGTTATTCCGCTGAGTTATAATCGCATTGTTATGCAGACTTTTTTATTTACTAAACTAATCAAAATGTAATGGTATCTAATTAGAAGTAGATGTAGTAGGTAATTATTCCAAGTAATAAAGGCTACTGAGCAACAAATGTCTTCCATTAATGGGAAGATTTATCGCTCCGATGAATTTAAACGATTATTGTGACTAATGAATGGTTACGACTTTTTACAATTCGCTGGGATATCTTTGAAAATATTTTAATGCGTTTTGGATTTCTGAATTATTAACAGTCATGTAGGATCTATCGATCGATTACGATCGAATCGGAAAGTAATAGCAACTTTCGTCGGTTCGTGAATGGTGTTCTTTAGATATTATTGTCGTATGATCGGAGAATAGTGGGTATGTGAGTCAACGTAGAACATCGTATTATTAGGAGGTGTATATATGCGTCCCGATCAGCTACTGCGGTTCAGTTGTCATCGAACTCCCGGGGGTAAATAGCGTACACATATCTATCTATCTACAATATAAGTCACTGTGCTTCAACATGATGTGGAAACTGATCATTGTAACCATTTTGGCAGTTGGTATGTATTGTTTATATTTTTTGTTATAATTTTTTTTAAGTGGTTATACAGTTAATTGCTGAGATTGATGATTCAATTTACAGTTGTGCTGATTTAGGAATTTGTCTATTTAAAATTAATTCTGAATTACATTACCTCGAATATTTTTTTTTTTTTATAATTTTTCGTTGTAATTAATTGTAAATAAACTGTTGTGTAGTATGACTATGCACAAGCAATTTACTAGGGTCCATTTCAAATTAGAACTTGTTTTAATGGATAAAAGATTGAATGGTGCACCTATAGTATACGATGGTGGGGCACCAGTGGAGGATGCAACCATGAGTTATTAGTTTAGTTGTCCCATCGTTGCGAAGTGCATTAATGTTAGTTTAATTTCCAAAGAGGTCGCTTGGAAGTTAATCTAATAGGATGCAATCTGTTCTCCTTTCAGTTATAAAATTTAGGGAATTTTAAAATGACATATCGTACTAGTATCGATATGACTTTATGATTTTAGATGATATTAGTGGCATTTTGAAATTGTGTCTTTGAATCTTAAATTTTTTATTACTTTGACAATTATATTTTGACAATTTAAAATACCTTTTATTAGATTCAGTGCTTAGTAAAACTTTTATATGTACCGATACATAATTTACAGTAGTCTTTAGATGGGTAGTTGTTTAAAAAAAATAATAACACTACCCGCAAATATAGTTTACTGATATTTACTAAATGTACTTTGAATTATTAAACATACAAATTCTTACATTAATTCATCCGTTACATTACAACCTATATACGCTCACTGTAAAACATACTAAAGTTTTCCAAAAGTACGGTCTCACTCTTTTTATATGCACAATGCATTTATATTCGTAGTTAGCCAACGATCTAAATAAAATGGTTTACATTTGATATTACAAACATCACTTGTAATGAAATCTGTTGATTTCAATGCATTTTCTTAAGCTTTTGACTACATTTTTTTATTATAGTTTTGTATTTTGATATTTGTCCATTGATGCAGTTTTATTCAGAACAACCTTAAAGGCGTCCATCCTCAATAAATTTCAATTCGTAGGTGCTGACTAAGTAATAAAATAATCAATTTTTTTATCGTAATCCTATAAACAAAGTTAAAATTGTTTACTAAATGGATAACATTTAATTTGCTTATATTTTTCCACGGTATACCTATAGATAAAATATCTCCCCACTTATCTGTATTTAAACATACTTACTCATTTATATCGACGATTTTCTTAATTTGCTTTATTAATCTGTTTTTATATACTTGTCTCAATTAGTAAACAAAACAGGCGTGTCTTTTTATCAAGATTAATACACACACAACGGTGAAACTAAAAAAAGAAATATTAAATAAACAAATAGCTGATTTTTATAATACCTGAATATTTATTTTTGAATATTACTTTTTTTATTTTTAAATTACTGATTTCCATATTTACTGACAGTGCTAGGGAAGCCACATTAAACAAAAAACATTTATATGAAATCTATGCAACCAGTTTACTGTATTTTAAAATTTTACTCTATAAAATAGCAATTATTTCTTTCTCTTATCATCCATCGATGTAAATATTTTGAACAAAATATCGATATTTTTAAAAGAGCTTTATATAGTATTTTGTATACGTCTACTTATATAAAATTTATTTTGAATTTGAATGTAAAAATTTTGATTAAAAATCAAGGCATATTATAAATTGTTTTTTTTTTTTTTATTGTGTTGATACTTCTAATTGGTTGCATAGATTCATTTTTCAATTTTGTTAATATTAAGATAGTGCCGATTCTTAAATAACATGATCACTTGCTCTGTGAGGACTGACTACTGTCTGAACCCTATCGAGCGTTAAACTCTATGTTCCCCTCTTCCTGTGATGCCCCATTTATCAATTTACCTCATCAAATGAACGCCAACATTATACCTACTTAGTGCGGTATATTTAGCTTATTGCAGTCTAATAACACGCTATCAGCTATTCGTTTAACTCATTTAACTTCGAGACAGTTCAATTTATTGATCTATTAATGTGAATATTTGTAAATCAGTAGCTGAAAAGATTTAAATGAAGTTTTATATACATAGATATATCATATCTTTGATAGGATAGAAATCAAAAAAATTAAAATTTCTTCATAAAGGAATAATTTTATTAACGTAATTTTTTTAAAACTTATCGTCCAGTTTAGCAAGCAGAGTCAGCAAAGAAGAACTGGCAAGACTACTTAAAGCCTATCAACTTGCTTACACACCATGTACATGGAAATAACCCTTAATAGATTTGCGGTATAGGATCCCGTCGGAATGTCACATGTCTCTAGCTTTGGTTCTCGGACCAATCAATTAGCCATTAGAGTAAATGATCATAGTGTCAGTCAGTACGTCAATAAACTATGTTTAGATTGCGGATGTAAAAATTTAGGTAAAATAATGTTTAATTACAAACGACACTCTTTGTAATGATCTTGAGTTGTTGATGTTTAGGGCTTCCAATTTGTATACATTTTCAGAAGACACGCAATATTAACTTCAGATAAAAATAGAGAGGTCATTGACCCAATGATATATTATCGTAAATAATGTTGCCAAGTTGCCTATTTTCTTTATTATCTCGTATTTACTTAAATTAGCTATCTGAAGTTTTTGTGACTTGACTTTGACCTCTGCATTATAATGTAGTTCAACTTACATTTTAATATTCAAAGATAAAACAAAAAAGTCCTGTTGTGTGTTAATTATAAAACTAAATATTTAAATTATAAGTTGCTACATCAAAGATTTTTTTTCTAAACTTTTATTATTAATAAGTCGATTTTGTTAAATCGTAGGATATTCGGATGCACACCTCAAATTCTCAATTTTAGATTCTTATAGAGTTTGATTTCCGATTTGGTTTCAGTTTCTGAGTTTCTTAAGGACTTTGTAACGAGTGTAAGGCGAGCCTCAATTGGTATTAGTATTTTATGATTTTCATTTAAAATATTTATTTCTTTAACGTTCTCAACATGAGATACTAAAGGAAATAATTAACGTCTAGGGGTACTTATAATTGAAATTGAGACCTTATTTGTATTTTAGTAATTATTATTATATTTAGTAATACGTTTATTCATCGATCTTTAAGAAAATTACACAAGTGCATTGTGCGTATATTTTCTTTATAAAAATATGTTATTGTTTATATTTTATAAACGAATAAGCATGACCGAAAGAGACGTTAAAAAACTAAATAAAGGGATGATTGACGGAAGAGTAACAAATATATCATTAATTTCAGGTGTTTTGTGCGATGACATTGCTACTGCTGTTAATGAGCAAACAACACAACAAATCAGAGATACGTTAAAGGCGCAATGTAAGAAAAACGGCGCTGAGGATAAGGCGCAAGATGTTGAGGTATGCATATATGTAACTTACCCATCGGTACATTTAAGGTGGAGACTGGTGAGTCGTGCCCATTCCAGAATTGTCTGGTGCTCAGTTCAGGCCGTGCTTTTAACTTTGCGCAAAGACATGACTGATAGTATTTATACAATGTATCTTTTTAAAGGGTCAGGGCCTCTCTGGAAAATAATTTTAATATGCCAGTGAATTTAGATGAAAAAGGTTCTCATTCCCATTCAGTGTAATCATGTTTTCCTCGTCCATTTATCTCTATTTGCATCTACTATTCATTCCCTTTCTGGTCATGATATTTTTCGTATGAAAAATGACAAGGTCAGAATGAACTGTGTAGTCCTTTCATTCTTTTTTGGATCTTCCTTTATCTACACTTACGAACACCCATTTATATTATGGCGATGATGCTCCCCGGGTATCCCAGGGTAATATTCTTAAGTATATGAATTTTAAAATTCAAATGTTCAGAGACATTTATTCATGATTTAAAAATGAATGAATAAGTAAAGATTAGATTATCTAATCTTTACTTATTGAATATTATTTATTGCAGAATGCAGCGAAAAATTTTGTTGAATGTGTCAAAGGATTGTTCGACTTCTCGACTATCAAGAAAGAGATTGAAGATGCCAAGCCCAATGGCGCTCTCGATGAAGTCTTTGGAAAGTAAGTAGATAATTATAAACAACTTTTTAACGGTTCAATTTTGTTTAAAAAATAGTTTTAGAAAATATTAATTAAATAGATTTCTGTTAGAAATGCATGATGATTTTACACGTTGCCCATAAAATCTGTTTTTAGAATTCATTTAAAATCTGTTCATCGTTTATGTTCTCATGTGTGTAGCATGTTTGGTATTCTGAACATACTTCTGGAATGTATGAGATCGTTTTTTTACATGGAATGGTAAATAAAGTGATGACTGACTTGATAAAAAATCGTCTAACTGTTTAATTGTTAACTGTCGTCTATAAACATGAATGACACCATAGATATGACACAATACCCCGTGATATGGTGTGGTATGGTATTCCTCGTGCCATGCAATTGCAAGGCTGAGAAGTTATACCTTCACATCTAAGAATTTTAGAGCTATGCTAGCACAGTTGATTAGCTCTAAAAACACGAGTGGGACAGAGTTACTCAAATAGATGACTTTAACACAAATTTTCCGTCCGGCAAATATTTAATGTTTCCTCATAACAGAAGATATTCAGCCTTAATAGGGTAAGAAAATTATAATTATATGATACTTATTATTGTCTTAAAAAAACAGGTACTGCGCTAAGTCACCACAGTTGAAGACCTGTATCCATACTCTTACCACGTCTGCGACACCTTGCCTCGAGGCCAGCGTCCGGGAACAGGTTGGCCCAATTAACAATGGTGCAGATCAGCTCATCGACTTCATATGTTATAAGGATGGTGATAGAATTGCTTGTAAGTATTCATGTATATCTATCTTCAGTAGTGGATATTGAAATAATGATGCAGACCCTTGTTGATGATAATTCAGGTGTAAAAATGAAAATGGGTATGGTCACTACCATATCTGCCACTACCAGATCTGTGCCTCCGTACCATGTAATTGTGGGTGGGTGGGGACCCATCGCATCGCACCCATCGCAGTCCTCAGGGACAACAACGCATGAGGCGTACTGTTAGCATCACAGTGCATTTTGTCTTATTCATATACGTATATATAGGCGACCGTTACCATTTTCCTTCAGGTGAGCCGTCAGTTTGCCATTCTAAATTGCATAAAAAAGGATTATTTTTTATGGAATTTAGAATGATAAAACAAGCTGGCGGCATTCTTATTAGTAGATAGCAACCGTAGCTTATAAATATGTCCATGGTACATCATACAATGTACTGTGACTCATGGTGGATCTTTTTTCAAAAGAAAACTAGACGAAAAACGACAGAAATTTTGAGCCTCCCATACTTATTAATTGATCGCGCCATGTTTGAACAAGTATTCGCTCGTTTGGTCTAATTCTAATGATAAAAATGTTGTAATGTAGAAACCAAGCATCCAATAAACATAGTTATCGATATGCTCTGTGTGACCCCTTCTTGTGATATGATTAATAATATTATTATTTACTTATATTATTATCATTATGAGCCTTTAATATATTATTGCACAGAAGTCATAAAGGGTATCGTAGACGACACAATATACTCTGTTATGCCCGTGGTACTGTTCATGTCTATAGGCGACGGTTACCACTTTCCATCATGCCGTCAGCTTCTTTTGTCATTATAAGCGACATAAAAAAAAATCACAATCATTCTTACTTCTCTATAATTGAAATTTTTATATCTAATTATATTATAGTAATTCATGTAAGATATTAATAGTTTAAAATGTTAAAACGGACATATAACGGACGGACGGATTAAGTAGCAAACTTGATAGTAGTACCAAGAAACAAGAAATTGTTATATAAATTAATTTTATAATGTTGCATGTTCTTGTAACTTATAAATTTTAAGATTTTCTACACAGAACTAGACACCCATATAGATCTCAATTCTTTTTCAGCATAATCAAAAAGACGCATATTGGTAATATTGAACTTGGCTCTGATTTCACATTTATGTTTTTGATGAGATACTCTTTACAAATACCAAAATTCTTCAAAGTACTCAAATTTCTCCAAGCCTCCTCTACTTTCTCTATTTAAGTATTGCTTTAATATTGTGTCATTTTCAGTGTTCATCGCCGAAGGAGGCCCCGAATGTTTCCAAGAGAAATCGGAGGGTATCCGTGCATGCGCTGAGAAACTCAAAAATAATGTAGGCAGTGTTGAAGCGGCTCAGAGTCTTACCCTTGTTGTGAGTAGTCATTTTATATTATCTTCTAATAGAGAGACTATTCAACGCCGGCTATAATTTATTTGACAGGCTTGTGTAATTTTTTATGGCGTTGCCCTAATAACGAAGAATATTAAGCCACCTTTTTTCGTATCGATCCGCGGAAATCCGCGCTTTTGACTTTAACGTCGAATTTGATGTACCTTAAAAGCACCACCAGAAAATTATATTTTGGTAGGCCCAATTATACGTTTGCTTATATTTTTATTAAGTTGTATGATAACAGATTATAAAAAGAGAAATTTAGAAAGAAAAGAAAAAAATGGAAAATTTAAGAATTTATAAAACAAATAAACAAACTTCTCTGCTTGCGCCATGGTTAGAAGTATTTATGAATATGAAATATATAACTAAAATATCAATACCACTATTTAAATAAATATAATGAAAAAGTAAATATTTATTTGCTTATTTATACTTATGCACACAATAAAATATATCTACAGGATGGACTTAATGCTTGATGGTATTCTCTACGAGGCAACTATTACTCTAAACAGAAAAAGTAAATGGCGGTGCATTGACGTAAAAAAAAATTATAAATTAAATAAACATCACGTTTAATGAACATTCTTTCTTTTATTGGAAGTTAGTTAATAAGAAGGCTGAACACACTGAAAATATTATTTTTCTTTTTTATAGGAGCAATGTGGCAAATACGATGAGCTGACGACTTGTATCATAAAATCATTGGAGGAATGCTCCACACCGACTCCAGGCAACATGGCCGAGTCTCTGTTCCGGTTTGTACGCAAGGGCTCACCGTGCAACAAGGCGGCCCCACTGGTAATATATCTTCTTCTTCTTCCAATCCTTAATTTCAGCACTATTTGGGGTCGAGTAATATATAAATATTAGTTAATTCATATGCTGCTATTCATCACATCGAATAGATGGCTGTTTCTTTATTTTACCGTCTATATTTTATAATATAGTATACTAGTGACCCGGCCCGACTTCGCATGAGTAGATAGAATTTTCGAATATATATATATATATGATAGAAGAATTTCATTAAAATCGATTGAGTACTTTTTGAGTTTATCCAAAATTATCACAAAAATAACAATCAAATCTTCCCTTTTTATAACGTTAGCATAAACAAGAGATAAGCTTTGACTAAGCACGGTTTTTTTTTAATAAAATACAGAATATATTACTCCTGATAATATAGCTTTGTATAGAAAAATATCTTTAAAATAGGCTAAATGTTTATAAGTTTATTCATTACAAAGTGAAAAGTTAAATATTTCTCCTTTATATTATAATATTAAGTTGAGATATTTTGATTGAATACCGAAACGATTGTAGTAATAAAAGTTTCTTTTATTTTGCAGAAGAACTGATGGGTGACAACATCAATATGTAATCAAATCAGAGCAATGTGATATTGTGCCATTTTCAAATGTAATTATCGTTAATAAATTGTATATTACGATATTATGTTTTAATTTTTTATAATACTAGTTTTTTTACGATGACATACAAGCTGACAACCCACCTAATGAACTACGGAATATGCTAACCATCACGTATATTTATTATGGCGTTCCCATAAGGACAAAAAATATAAAGCCACCTTTTTTCATAAAAATGTCATCGGGAATCCGCGCTGTTCTCTTCAACGTTGAATTTGATGTACTTTACTGATCCTAAATTACCACCAGAAAGTTATATATTGGTCCGCTCAATTATACGTTTGTTGATATTTTCATTAAGTTATATTGTAACAGATTACAGAAAGATGAAAGGGCGGCGGTAGTCACTTACCATCAGGTGAGCCGCATGCTCGTTTGCCCCCTGTGTTGTAAAAAAAAAAAAAAGATAAAATAAGTAAAAAAAAAAAAAAATAAGAACTTATAAAACAAATAAACTTCTCTGCTTGCCCCATAGTTAGAGAGTATTGTGGAGGTATTTATGATGAAGTATAAAGTATATAACTGAAATATCAAGATCACTGTTTAACCCTTTTTTGCATAATGGTGGAAATTTCTATCATAACATTGAATGCCCAAAAATTATATAAAAGAACAAGTTCACTTAAAGTTGATCCTATCTGGATATCTTTTTAATGTTCATTGCAAAAAAAAAAAAAACATAGCTGTCAAATTTATTTTTATAACTATTTTTTCTTTAATTTTGAACATGAATTATATCACCTTGATTTATTTCACCAATAAAAAAATCAAGCGAAAAAGGGTTAAACACATACGGGTAAACAGGATCGTGGACACTAAGAATACACTGTCATACTATGGTACCTCCCATGCGTGGCCACTCCTATTTATTATGGTGTTATACCTTCCTATTCTGTAATTTCATTGTCACTTCTCATCTTTGCACCACTGTCCTTATTTTTTTAAGCTATGGCCAAGATCTATTTTTATCATTTACCAATACCTAAAATAATGCGCTTATAAACAATGGTGACCGACACCAGTAAATTCACTGTAATCTTATCAATGCAATTAAGTGGACTCAATAAATATATGTATTGTTTTTTTCGCAACTTATAAAGACAAACGAGCTGACGGCTCAACTGGTAAAAAGTGGTAATCGTCGCCTATAGACATGAACAGTACTATAGATAACAGAATACACTGTGTCACCTATGATACTAATCATGTGTTGCACTTCTTGAGGTTTAAGGTGTTATGCGTCTGAGCCTTCTAAATTCACTGCTATATCCTACGATTCGAAATTAATAACTTAAGTATGTAACCGTTTTGTGTTACGACTTCTCGAAGGACCTTCACTATCTTATTTCTCAGCTTCACATAATTATAATATTACTTATTAAATTTTTTTAATACATATACACGTATATATATATATGCATATATAAGATCATTTATATTTATATTTATTCCTACGTAATTGTCCACCTTCACGATAATGCCCAATCAATTTTACACTAGGTATTAATTACATTATCATTTATTGCTTATATATGTATATAACACGGAATAAACATTTTCTTATGTTGTTACTTGTTCTTTCGCCACATTGTAGGAACAACTGTATGTGTCCTCTGGCGACGAATTCCTTTTCCTAAAACAGGAAATAAAATATTATTAAACATTTTTCTGCTTTACTAGTTCCGTATCAAAATTATTACAAAGGAACTGTTATGGCTTATCCATCGTCAAACACTTTTATACTTTTTTTTTTCGTTTCATACTAATGCTGTTATATCGACAGCTATCGATTTTCAATTTAGTGTTATTATTTTATTTTTAAATTTATTTTTATTTTTTATAGTTTCACTTAAATAAAGGTGTCTTCTTCAACATTGAACCGATTTTGTTATTTTTTTTTTTCATACGATGGCGTCTACTCCCGTGTTGAATGATTAAAGGTACTGGCTTATATGGCAATGCAAAATGAAATTATTTTTAAGGATCTTATTATAGACTGACTTTTGTCCGCGATTTGTATACACTCGGATTTTGAATTAATTGGATGGATTTCTAGATGGCGTAACAAGATAAAACGTACACTAAATTTTGAGTTCAGTAATCTTTAAAACCGGAAACCGTATAAACCGGGTTCAACTTGGTGCAATAGTTCGTGTATGATCCGGTGTATCCGGCAGGACTACAGTATTTGCAACTTACTATTTTTTGCTGTTTATCGAACTTTGTCTGCTGTGTGTGTAACAGTTATTAGTGAAAACTTTATTGATTATTAAATATTTATTATGTAATATTTTTCTGATAATTGTAAAGTTTGTTTCCTAAATAAATTTAAATTAAATAAACACACAAGCAGACTGACAGACAAAATTTTAAAAATTATTAATTTAGCTTCTACTGCTCTCATTAGATACTTAGATATATATTGTTTTCTTAAATATCTTCAAGATACATCAATCTTCTAATTACAGTGCTTATTTATATTATATATATATATATATTTGTTTAAGAATATTAAAAGTATAAAAATACAAACCTGCAGAGAGAATGTCGTTTTTTGTATACGATGAATACGGCAGCGATAATTACAATACCGCCAACTAACGCCCCAATAACAGCACCAGTACTTGAGTACTTAGATGGCGACGGCTGAAATATAGTTATAAACACAATAAATAGTATAGAGATGGATAATATACAGCAATATCTATATATTGTAGTTACAAAATCTATATATCGACCCAATAAAAGATATGTTATATAGGTTGTCCAATATATAGTTATAATATTGAATTGAAGCGCCCGATTAAAACGAATTGAAATATCCGACTGGTATAGGCGATATCGAAATAGATGGTGACCTTTTTTCCATAAAGTCATCACCTATTTCGATATATAGATATCGGAGCGGTACGGATATTACCCATGCCTATGTATAAAGACGATATTTTAGAATATAGATGTGCTTTTGTCCGTAAAAAAATTTTGGTCACTTTCCATGACTATTTTAACTATTTACAAAGCCATTTGCATTTGCAACATATCAAACGTGATCAAAATTATTAAAAATCAATAAGATAAGATGTAATTAAGTAATTTATCTAAATTGATAACAGACTATTTTAATTATTTAATTAAAAAAGTGAATGTTAAAACTTTGAAAATTAATAAAAAAAAAACAAAAATAGCTGCTAGTTGCTAGTGATTTAATAAATTAGTTACCTTTGCAGTGTCCATCTTACAATATTTGTCTATTAAGAAGTCTTGAAGGTCCACAATGTACTGTTTTGTTATATTGCAATCGTTTTTAGGTATCCTTTGAATACATGCCTTTATCTCAGCTGTATAAGTACAAGGTTTTCTCTGTAAATAATTTTTATAATTCGTGACAAATATGAAAAGAAAAATGCTAATATAAATATAAAAGTAATTAACTACATATGATAAAAAAAAAATAAGAGCGTCGTGGGCTAGGAATATTTACATTATACCAACGTATAGATTATAAAAGTTTACGAGTTCATGTCTGGTCGAATAAAAAATTGTGTTAATTTAAATTGCCGACCCCGGCAATGGTAAGTAGCGTTAACAAACCCAATCCTTCCAAGACATAACGGCAGACTGTGATGTTGCATTGGCTTGTTCGCTTCTAGAGTAATCCCGTATGGGTTATAAAATAAGGCTGTAAAACTATAAATTTCTTTATGTATTATTAATTGTTCGAACCGAACAAAAGTATTAATGAAGAAAATGTAATCAAATCTTTACAATTACTGTGCCCAAGTTTTTCACTTTTCCATACTATTTTTTAAACATTTTCTTTTATACAAACTTTGTTCTGATAATTATAAATACAACGGAAAAAAGATTAGCCAAATATATGCAATCGTTTTGTTTTGCAAAGAAACGCGCTTATATACATTCGGCAATTGGTATTTATTTATTTAGAATTAAACATACGTCGTGTAAGTTTATTATGATATTTATTTATTTATTTTAATATTACATCTGATGATGATGATGATATTATGATATAATAAAACATCATTATACAGGAAAACAAAATCATTAGCACTCTTTTAAGTGGGTGTACTCGAAATTCAAATTTTTCGTTGTATATTTTTTCAAACATTTAGATAGACAGATATAAATAAATGGATTTTCGATATGTTATGTCCATGGTACTGCTCATGTCTATAGGCGACGGTTACCACTTTCCATCAGGTGAGCCGTGAGCTTGTTTGCACTTCTAAGTCGTATAAAAAAAAACAATGTCTAGAAAATCTATTTCTATTTACTGTAACAAAAATTGTTACTAGTCGATTATGTTTAACAATAAATAAATTGTGTTTCATAAAAAAAAAACCGACTTCAATTGTGGCAAAACTAGATATTTTTATTTTAAATTTAAACTACTGAACTGGTTTTGATAAAATTTTTATGATTTATCGTTTAAATAATAAATAAAAATAATTTCCCAAATCGGTTTACAATTGATGTATTTATAAAGTAATAAACAAAAATATACAATTGAAATTATAATATAATCTCCTTCTTTTTTAAGTCTCTTGAAAATAGTCGTTATAGGTTGAATACTTGAACATATGAATCGAGTGGTACAAAAAACTTTCGATTTATAAAATGAAAATTAAGTTTTACTCGATTAAAAATATTTCTCTTTAGATACGCAGAAATGGTAACTTACATCAAACAGTAGCGGTTTGTGAACTTTAAGCAGGGCGTGTGATATGTTTTTCTCAAATTGTCCTTTGATTTGCAAAGTATTGTTTAAACACTGCAGAATGTCTTTTTTCATCTCTTTTGCACATCGTTTACCATCATTTTTAGTGAATTCTGTAAAAATAAATGTTTTTAGATTACTGATCGCCTAAAATAGTAAATAGGCGGCTGAGTGAGATTTGTTTAGTTCAAGTACTAGTATATTATTTCACTTACTGTTCGTAAGTTAGTAATTATTCAGGTACGTAATATATAGAAATATCTATATATATTTTAGTTACTGGTCCAATAACGAATATTATTTTTAAAACACAGTGAATTCATTAATTTCCCGTATGTATATAAACATCGAATAACGAATATTATGTTAAAAGTCTGTTATCCAAAAAATAATATTGGATAACACATCAATATCCAGAGGATCCAATATATAGATATCGAATCAGTATCCGTATACCCACGCCTAGTAATTATAGTCACTAGTAATATATATCCCTGACTTATAAATCTCCAACATTATGAGTTCGGACCTGACAAGATAGTTTTGTTGATCGGAAAATCAAATTAATGTTCCGACTAACTCTCCTCTCGCGATCTCATTGCTTGCATATCTATGTTGGAGAGGTACAATATATTAATAACTTATACATATATATAGTATATTATTGAATTCAGTTTTTGTTTTTGCATCCAATAGTATATATAATAAATTAATCAAAGTTGGAGTGCTTAAGCCAAGTTACAAAATAGCCACAAAAATTCTTTTCGAATCTTTGGTTGAAATGTACGCACAATTTGTGGTGGTTTTCTTTTTTTATATTGATATCGAATTAAAACATTAACCATAAAATACGTGGCATATGAATCTATTACTAAAGACTTTACACCTACTTCGTATTTTACTTCGAATATTTTTTTAGTTTAGTTAGTTTGTGCTATCAAAATTCGAATTTTCAGTGGCAGCTTTTTTTATACTGCTAAGCTGGCAAACAAGCATACAGCCCGTCTGATGGTAAACGGTTACTGTAGCTTTATAAGAATATTGGTGTTTAAATATTGTATAATTAACGTTTTAGTTTGCGAGTACTTTTTAAATAATCGATCAGAAATGTAGACAATTATTATAATATTTTTGAACATTGACATATTATTGTAACGTTAAGTTAAAGTTATGAACACTATTAATCTAGTTAACAAACATGTTTCCTTTATGTGGACGAAGTTGTGGATAAAAACTAGCTAGTACTAATTACGTTACCTTCAATTTTTTCCTTCGTCAATGACACTGTGAAAATCTCTTTACGTAATTTGGTTGATATATTTATTATTTCGAGATCTACACCATTTAGACATGTCGAATACGAATTGAATAGTGAGTCGTATGTTCTATTGACATCTCCTTGGTTCTGACAAGTGCTAAAACAAGCAAAACAGATTAAACCTAACTACAATAATTAGTAACAATTTTCAAAATGATTACTGACTTTTTTTTTTATTGGTAGAAAATGGAATAGTAACCCCGCCTGCGCTAACGGGATACGCTGGCGAGGCACCAGTGAAGGGTGATCGATGAGGATGAAAACAGGCCAGTTAACCCATCATGATGAATTCATCAGGAATTAATCATGATAGTTTCCAGGGGGAACCGCGAGGAGGTCGACCTAGTTGGGTATATTGCTAGCAATGGGATTCTCAATCTCCATTACTAACAATCTCTTCCCCCCCCCCTCCCCCCGATTACTGACCTTTTCCACTGAACCTAATTATATTTACGTTCAGCAGTGGACAGTTTTAGCTGATATGATGATGATGGTTATATTATACTCGTACTAAGAATAATTAACTGTCTGATCTTAAATTATACATATATAGAATCCATCCACACAAATGCTCCACTAAAAATAGGTCAACTTTTTTAAGCGTATGTTCCATCCAAATTATATTTTTGAGTTAAATTAAAAAATAAAAATAATGCAAAATTTGATTTAAAAAGGTCGTTATTTTAATTAAGACATATATATTAATTTGTAATCAATATGTACATATGTGCTGAAGAGGGAGACTTTGTACAAAAGTCAATTGCTTGGGTACCCCTGTCCCATTCGTGTTTCAACCGTGAAGCAGCTGTGTTTGCATGGCTGTGTTTCGGTTTGAAGGGTGGGATATGGCGTGAATTTACTGGGTACAGAGGAATAACACCTAAGTCCTCAGAAATGGCAACGCATTGGGGGTATCATGGGTAAAACAGTATACTCTGTTATGTCCATGGTACTGCTCATGTCCATAGGCGACGGTTACCACTTTTCATCAGATGGACCGTCAGCTTGTTTGCCATTCTAAGTTGTTTAAAGAAAAAGATAGGCCTCCCTCATAAGGAGGGGTTTGATAGTAGTTGCCACGCATGGCATGCGAGTTGGTAACCACAGTAGGTTTTAGTGATGTTTTAAGAGGGACGCTGCTGCCCATCCTTCGGCTATTAAGTTCCCTTAGTTGCCTTTTATGACACTCACTTAAAAGGACGTGTGGCCCATTCTATGCCGAGACCATACGCTAATATTAATAATAAAAATAATAACTTACCTTATATTTTTGTTTCCGTCGATGTAATCATTTACACACGTCTTCAAGTTTGATTTAGCATTCTGAAAGAAAACATTACAGCCGTTTAAAATAATATAATGTTATATTGATTCTGGATTCGTTTATGTGTGTTTCTAACAATATTTTTAGTTAATCCAGCAAATGTTTTCTCTCCTATCGGCTCTATTCTTTTTATCGGGTTAATTTTTTTTTTTAATCGATTACTGGTTCCCAAGAGTAGTGTAAATTTCTTATATATTAAGGAAGCCTATTGTATGTTTTTTCTGTGTATCCAATTTCTTTACGTCACGTTTATTTTATAAATTAACAAACAATTTCTTCGATAGCACAAAAATGCGACTACGCAACTAAAATCTGGCAACACCAATAAACGACGAGATGTTCCTTAAAAACCCTACAACGGTACGCTTCATAGGTACCCTATATTATAAATACCTATTGACTGTTACATAATGGTATTTTTTAAATAGCTATAGATTCGTGTGAAGAAATAACATCTTGTAAATATATGATTCCGACTTGTAAATTTAAATATTTTAAATATAATGTGTCTTACCTCCCGCCGTTCATAAGAACAAGGAAATTACTAGTATTTATTCATTAGTACATGTATGTGTACAAGGCAGAATTAACGCTAAAAGCATACTCTCCCAGTCAACCTCAGGGAATTGTCAGAATACTCGATTGCGGTAGTAGTATGATATACATACATATTAAAATTTACATATACAAACAAATATATATATATAAATAACTTTTTTTTTATACAACTTAGAATGGCAAACAAGCTGACGGCCCACCTGATGGGAAGTGGTAACCGTCGCCTATAGACATGAGCAGTATCATAGACATAACAGAGTATACTGTTTCGCTCATGATACCCCCCATGCGTTGCCATTCCTGAGGACTCAGGTGTTATTCCTCTGTACCCAGTAAATTTACGCCATATCCCACCCTTCAAACCGAAACACAGCCATGCAAACACAACTGCTTCACGGTTGAAACACGAATGGAACAGAGGTACCCAAGCAATCGACTTTTGTACAAAGTCTCCCTCTGGTAACAATAACAAATGTATTTACACACATATATATGATATACTATATTATACGTAAAGATGAGATTAGATAGTACTTACTGATATTACAAAAAAAAAAGATGTGCATAGATATATGACTAAAAATGTCATATACGAATCATTGTTATGTCAGTTAAGTATCTATTTGTAGTCATTCAAATTTCCAAATGACATTTTGTCAATAATATTAAATCGTTACAGAGTTCCTTGATGTAAAACAGTCATTTAAGGAAAATAAGGGCTTCTACAGAATTAATTATAATATAATACATAACTTGCCTTAAATGACCGTAACAATATGTAATACAAATTTTAAAGTTTACTTTGTAGCAAAGCGTTAGAAAAATGTAGGTAGAGGTACACATAATAATAAATTAAAAGTATATAAGGAAATAGTTACAATATATGTACTTCATTTATCTCCATATATGTGCTTATATATAAATAATTTATGATTTATCAACTAATCAGTGTACATACAAATAACTGCATTGTACTGCGCAAAACTATGTAGTAATATTAGTAAATATTAACTTGTCTACTTGCTAGTGCCGTCTACTAGTGTGACAAATTCCACTAAAGTTTAAACTTAATTGGAACATATAACTAAACCTCTAATTTAGTTAAGTGATAAGCATTTTTTTTTATTTATAATTTATTACGTTGTAACAGCTATACAAATAAATGTTTTTTCTTTAAAATATTTTTATTTTGTTATATAGGTTGAATATTAAATTAAAAATAAAATTATTTGTTAAACATGTGGCGGACCTCCGTGGTGAAGTGCGGTGATAAATAAAGGAAACTTATATACGTGTGCAGTATATTATATAAATTAAAATAATATTCTATATATATGACTAGCGATTTGGCCCGGCTTCGCACAGGTACATAAAATATTCGAAAATTATCTGTAGCCTATGTTATTCAAAGATAAGGTAGCATATTAATGGTGAAAGAATTTTTAAAACCGGTCCAAATTTTTTCTCTTTATAAGTGTAGATAAAATCGCATTTCTTGTCCGTAAATGAAAAATCGACATTGAAAATCAAAAGCGACAAAAAATAAAGCGGTGGTCAATTTCTTTTCACCCGTATTTTTTTAAATGTTAGTCATCAAAGGGTAAATAGCTAATGTAGTCGACTTATTTTTTTTTAAACCCATATTGTTCTTTATTTAAGATATCGTATTTAAAGCAATAATTTGTAAGCCGTGATAATATTCATTTCTCAAATACTTTGAATAGCACTGATTTTAGAATTATCGGTCGGTAGTTATTTATTTCATTTTTGTCTCCTTTTTTATACAAAGGCTTTACTATAGAATATTTGAGTATACCTGGGTAACATCCTTATTCCAATGATAAATTTATCAGGTACGTTATCTATGCAAGATTTTATTACTCTTGTAGACATTTTATCGCACCTTTTACAATTTGTATTATTTAGAGATTTTATTTGTTTTTTTTTAACTTCATATTCTGATACAGGTTTCAATTACATAGAGTTTAATAGTCTATTTAGTTTTAATCTTTCATAAGTTGCGACATTATTGATTTAGTATGGGAGACTCAAGTTTTTTAAACCCTAGACGAATGGCAAGCTATTCTATTGAATGAATCGTTATCAAAAAGGCGTCCATGCGTTGAGTCATGCAATGAGACATCCGACGTTGCTATCTCATTCTATCTCACGGACTCGCTAGCAATGTTGATTCCATCGATGAATTAACTTGCCACTTTTTTTTTTACACAACTTAGAATGGCAAACAATCTGACGGCCCACCTGATGGAAAGTGGTAACCGTCGCCTATAGACATGAGCAGTACCATGGACATAACAGAGTATACTGTTTCGCCCATGATACCCTCCGTGCGTTGCTATTCCTGAGGACTCAGGTGTTGTTCCTTCGTACCCAGTAAATTCACGCCATATCCCACCCTTCAAACCGAAACACAGTCATGCAAACACAACTGCTTCACGGTTGAAACACGAATGGGACAGAGGTACCCAAGCAATCGACTTTTGTACAAAGTCTCCCTCTGGTGGTCCTCCACTTGTCTAAAGAGCCTTTTCTCTGATACAATACTCTATTAAGAGCGTTCGAAACATAAGCTTACCTAAATGTAGCAACGCCGCAATGAACTGTCAATTGTCAAAAACATTTGAACATCATTCTATGATTCTATTTGATTATTTATAAAGCATCCTGCTAGCGAACTATAATATTAAAAAATATAATAGTTTTGAACGCTCTTAAAAAGACTCTAATAATTTTAATTGTAGATCATAATTTACCTTAATATTTGTCGAATTTCGAATGCAAGTTTGCATAGTTTGGTAATGTTTAGCCACGTCATCCCCTCTTGTAACTGTAAAAAAAAAAAAATCTTGTCGTATTTTTTTATGACAACGCGTTGTTCACACAATGAATGTATTTCTCCTATTGTTACCTTTTCTTATTAACTGTATTGTTCTCTTATCAGCTGTATATTCCTTTAGAAATAAAACATTTGATCAATACAAAGTATCCTATCCTATCTGTGGACTCGGAAGCTAAGGTTCTACAAAAGAACGTCGTTTTCACTAATCCTTACTAATGTAACAAATGTGAAAGTGGCTTAATCAATCACTGTGAAATTTGGTATATACGTACTGTATGAGATGGAGAAGGGCATGTATAGGATTGTTTCTTAACCCGAACAATAAATAAACATAAAAAAAATTGTTACTATTTATTATTACATTCCGGCCATGCGGACGAAGTCGCGGGTAAAAGCTAATACTATTATAAATACTAGTCTGTGTCTGTATATAAACTAGTATTTTGGATGAAAGGAAGGGGATTGTAGGGTTTAAGATCTCCATTGTTACAAATATACCATACGGCGGTGGTCACTTACCATCAGGTGAGCCGCATGCTCATCTGCCCCCTATGTTATAAAAAAAAAGGAATATACCTCATCAGTTCCCGACTGAAAACCATAGTAATTAATTTTCTGCACATTCACGGTAGACTAACTGACCTACCTTCATTGGTACTGGTACTTGTACTAGTACTGGTGCCTCGACAGCATTTACTGATAGCTCAAGCGGGGTTACCATTCCATTATCATCTCTAAAGAAAAGCATTTTGTATTTGGGTCTCACTATTTTATATGTCGTATTTGCATAAATGTTTCCATGTATGTTGCGTACTTATGTCATTACACTTAAAAGGCTGGACATATTTCGATGAGAATTTGTACATAAATAAAACGTTATGGATCCTTATTCACAATTCATTAACACCTGGTTAAACAATTTAAGAAACTAATGATAATTACTTATAGTTAAATGAGGTTTATTGAGATATTAATAATTTCTGTTTTTACATATAGTGTTTTCAACTTTTTTTAATGGGTGAAAATGGCATGGTAACCCTGCCTGCGCTATCGGTATATGCTGGTGGAGCACCAGTAAGAGATGATAGGTGAAGATGAAAAGGTAGATCAGTTAGCCCATCGTGGCGAATTTAACGATAAATTTGTCACAATAGTTTCCAGGGGGAACCGCATGGAAGTCGACCTGATAGGGACATATATTGACAGCAATGGGGACTGACCACCCCATTATATAAGGAGGGAAAGGGATTATTAGCAATGGAGTTTGACAGCCCCATTGCTAGCAGCTATAAGGTCGACCTCCACGTGGTTCCCTCTGGAAACCATCGTAAACAATTCTTGTTGAATTTGTCACGATGGATTAATTGACTTACTTTATTCTCACCTATCATCCTGGTGCCCCGCCGGTATATACTGATAGCGCGGGTGGGGTTACCATCCCATTAAAAAAAAATCTCTCAGTTTTTTCAGCTTAAGTCATCATCATCTTCCTATCCTTATCCCGATTATTATTTGGGGTTGGCGTAATATGAAGTTTTATCCAAAACAATATAGCTTATAGTTTTACAAACGGCCGAAACCATCGTGACTAATTTATCATTGAATTCGTCAACTGACCTGCTTTTTTCATTTTCAGCTATCACCCCTCACTGGTGCCCCGCCAGCGTATCCCGTTAGCGCAGGCGGGGTTACCATTCCATTAATCATACATTAAAAAAAATACAAGGTATATAGTTTATTTTCAGTAACTAAATATACCTATTATATAATTAAATTACTTGAAATCACATAATTCAACCACGCCCAGTTTGTAGTTACAGTAGACATTAATTTTTCAATTACCTAATTTATTAATATTATATTTATTTAATTTAAATAACACCATTAATAGGCAATTATAAATAATAAATTTAAAATAAAAATACTTACATGCAATTAACAAAATAACAATGAATCCAGCGACCGTACTTAGACACATGTTCGCTGTTCAATATCGAAAATATTTATAATAATTAAGAAATACAAACTGACTTTCCTTATTGAGGACGTAACTATAGTTGTTACATTGTTTAGGTATGTTCTTATTACAGTACTCTTAATCTATACTTATAATAAATCTGTAGAGAGGTCAATTCTGTACATGAAATATATTTCCAAAATAACTATCAGGGGGTGATTAGTGATCGATACTGATGTCAAAAATGCGATCAGTAAAATTTTTGTCTGTCTGTCTGTATGTATGTTCGATATAGAAACAAAAACTACTCGACGGATTTTAACGAAACTTGGTACTCCTGGGCAGGTACTTTTCATCACGCTACGATCGATAGGAGCAGAGCAGTGAAGGGAAATCTGTTTATTACATCAAAACCACTGAACCGTGATGAAGAACATAGGCTACTTATTTTACGAAAAACGACGGAAACGCGGACGAAGTCGCGGGCAACAGCTAGTATAGTAATATAATATAATGATACATGCATGCCTAGTATCCTTAATCTATGGTCGTGGTAGTGTCACTATATATGAGTACATAAATCCAGGGGTGTCAAAAAATCCATGAAACTTGGTTGGTAACGCAAAGTAAAGTCTATTATGATTCATGTAAGTTTGATTTTTTAAACCATCACGAGTCAATCTTTAAAGTCATTTTATTGTTATAATGAACCTATCTGGTACTCTGGTAGTAGCTATGGGTAGCTATTCCAATAACCAGCTATATAGTATGTGGCTATGTAAAGATAGCCGCGGCTAGGTTATCTGTTGTCGACATAGACAGCTATTGGTTATAGCCATTGGTAAACTTGTAACAACTATGTTTACCCGTCGACTATGGCAGCTACGGTAGCTGACGGGGCGCTATCGTCTACCAATAGCCGCGGTAGCTGTCGTAGCTGGCAGTAAACGTTCAAACCGATAGCGTATGCTATCCGATAACTTATTGGTTGAATAGCTACCCGGCTGCAATACGTCGGATTTGATCACCATAGTAACATGTAAATTAGATATTCCAATACGTGTTTTTTTTTATTAACTTAATTTTTATTGCAAAGAACTATAGTATAGTCATTACAACGAGTACATTTATTAATAAAAAATGTCTTTTACTTTAATAGCAATGCCTTCGAAGGACATTATCAAAATTCATTTTATCAACAAGAGTTAGCGACATCTATGATCCTTGAAATTAAACTTTGAAATGATCTGTTCGATTATGGTTGCTTCTTAACTCATTTCATAGGTGACACTACTATGAATCGCATTATTTAACATATGTTGCTACGTTGAGAATCAAACTCGATGTGGTGCGGTTGGGCAGTTATTCAACTAAATAGCTAACGCTAAGCATCACGCTATTGGGTCGATTATAATGAGTCTTTCGTATAATAGCTGATAGCCAAATAGCTGGCTATTTAGTCAGCTTTTACATCATAAATAGCCGGATAACTAAGTTATTAAAATTTCACCTAGTTACCCATCGCTATTTCGTAGTATTTCAGACGAATTACTGTAGGTACTTCTTCAATATCTCAACATAGCACTCCCATATATTCCAGAAGTTTATATGTTTATAATAAAATAGATTAAGAATAGTTCGTGCATAATAAATATAATATGTGACAAGACACGACAATTCTTATGTCAAAATTCTAAGAAAATCCAAAAGTATCTAATAATTACATCAATATCGTGATTTTGGTAAATTCTTTGTATTTAAAAATAGATACGATATTTTATTAAAACAGCCTCAAATATGCAAATAATATATGAAAATAATACTTCTGTTTTATTTTTAATGATAAAGTGACACAAGTGTCAAGCTGTAGTGTTTGTGGTTTATTTCTGAATATGGGAATTGCTGTAAAAAATAAGAAAACGCAGAAAATTACTAGATTAAACACCGCAAAGAGCAATGCTCCTGTGTATACAGTCTCATCACAACATACGAATACTACAAAATTAGTCGCAGATAAGAATAGTAATGTATTAAATACTAATTGTGGCTGTAATTATAGAACTAAACAATTGAAGAAAATGTCTTTGAAGTTCATGCCACATGATAGAATTAAGCAGAACTATACGAAACCAGAAACTTGGGCCTCAATAGTTAATATGTATAGGAAAGCAGATAATATTAAAGTTGGGAGTTTGGAGGATAATAACTCAAAAGGTAAGACCTTATTTAAATGTTCATGCAGAAATAATTTAAAAAAATGTAATGATCAAGAGCTAATTTCAGAACAAAAATCAAAATTAAAACAAAAAAGGAAACCTCAAATAACTTTACATAAAAGTGCAGTTCAGAATAATGCAGGAGATAATGAAAGTTTTCAGTATAGTGAAAAATTCAAAAAGATGTCTGCCAATGGTTTAAAGAAGATATATAAAAATATGCAAAATAAATTGACTTATCCCTACGAGGAACCGAAGAAAGATGTACGTCTTGCTGATAAAAAATCTTTAGTTAATTTATATTATAAAGATAAGGGTAAGAAAAATGTTAAATATTTAAATACAATAACATCATTTAATATAAATGAAAATACATATTGTTTATGTTCTAAAACCTATCAACAAAATGCTGATATTCATAAGATAGATGGTATAAAAGAGATCAAACCATTTGCAGTTAAATTAAAAGATAACAGTAAAGTAAAATTTGAAAAGAAACCAAGATATATCACAAAAGATGTTATTCAACCTGGTAATAATGGGAGTAAGAAATTAAAATTCTCAAAAATTCCTACATATAAATATATTGATAAAAGTTGGAAAATATCAAATAATGACAAAAGTCTTAATAAATCTAACTTTAAAAAAGTGTACCGTAAAAATGCAAAGAAAGTGAACTTAAACCCTTTAGCATCTCATAAACATACAATTAATAGAAACTTATTTGAAAGTTATAAAAATTGTTCACATCAATCATGTAAAGATAATAACGTGATCAAAGTTGATGACAAGGCAATACCAATAAAATCTAGAAAATCCCAACCATTAACAAATAAACATTGTAAAGGGCTTTTATGTAACAATCAGTACTTAAATCAAATTATGTATGTGACTTCTTTTTTAATTAAATGCTTGCATAAATTAAAATTAAGAAAGTTAGATAAACAGATTCTTCAAGAAGTAGAAGTACAAAATGAAAGTGATCATACAGGTGAACCTTTATTTGAGATGCAGATAAATTCTGTAGATATGTGTGTATTAAATGCCCATGACATAAAAAATAAAATCAAAAGTCTTGGAAAAGAAACATCCCGAGCTGAATGTATTTGCCCTTCGCATGGGCTTCGGAAGAAGTATATTGACAAAAAGGAATTTTGCGCATCCGGTGTATATGAAAAAGTGGTACAAAATAAGAAAACCAATTTCAATTGTAAATGCGTAAAAGTTCCAAATGAATGCACAGATGTTACCTGTAATATTCATTCTAAAGAAAACAGTCTTTTAAAATCATATAATATACAAACCAGACCTACTACAACAATTACAAATAAGCAGCCATTATTTGTAGTAAAGCTGGATTCTGACAAAATGTGTGTAATAAATTCCAAAGAAATACAAGATAAACTAATTAATATAAAAAACCAAAAAGTAGAAAAAAGTGTTGCAGGTATTTGCGCAGAAAAAAATATGAAAAATAGAAGACATATCTGTAACTGTATTAAATCAATTAAGCCGTATGATTGTTCTGAAAATACGTGTCGAATTGATACATATCAAAATATACCACTGTGTACAAAATGTAAACAATACCGTATCAAATCAAAAATGGTAAGAAGAAACATTGACACACAAACTATAAAGTCAAAACTGTCGTGTTTTTTCGCAACTCGCACTAATCCAGACAGGAGAATGTATTCACAGTCAGTCAATATTCATAAAAGAAATGATTTGAACAAAAGCAAACAACTGAACATAAAAGGAATGCAACATAAAGATACAAATAATTATTGTACATGTTGTCATTGTAAAATAAACAGAAAAAGGAAACGTATATCAATTTGTAAACATTCAATTTCAACACTTTTTAAAAGAGGTTTATGTAGTAGTAATATAATACAAAATACAAAATATCAATCTTCAGTTTATCCATTTAAATGTGAATGTAATCAGGATACAAAAAAACTTAAAATACAACCAAAAAAAATTAGACCGAAATATAAGCAAAGTAAAAATATTTCATTAAAAGATCGAAACAATAAAAAGCAGAAGAAAAATATAAAAAAGATTAAAAAAAGACACTCCGCAAAACTTCATAAAAAAACAAAAACTTTAAAAAACAGCAAAGAACAGGCTTCGAAAAATTGTTGCATTAATTTTATAGAAAGTTTATTAACTCCAACCATGAAGTTATTAAAAGGATCATTTGGTATATTGTTAAAAAAAGGCCCTTCTTCATACATAAAGAAACAGATCAAAGGTCCAAAGGATACATATAAGAAAATAAAGACGTGGATGGGCAAAACATGGGACGGTCGACGGTCACAAATGGCTAAAACATTGTCTGAATCAGAGACATTAAATATTTTGACAGATACGTTAAAGGATACTGATCTATATCAGACATTTGCGCCTTCTGGAAAGTCTGCAAAAGATAAACGATTGATCGAGATCCAGAATAGAAAAAGAAAGAGAAGAATAAAATTACGTCATGATAAAGCTCTTTACAGCTGTCGGCACATGTTTTTAACTACGCTTAGAAAGAGGCCTTGTATGTTTGTGTACCATATCTGTCCCTGTTTATATCCGCAGTGTCTTGGATTATTATCATTTATGAGGAGCTTCTTTAATTTGTGTGTATTTATCGCTGCTTTTGCATGTTGGACGCCATGCATTGTTTTTTGCGAGCTAACCCGCGCGTTGTGTTGTTGTGTATTTTGTACCTAGTAAAGTGTTTGATATAAACTATTTAATGAATCAAATAAATTGTTTGATTTTATTTGTAGGTATCAAAATAATGATCATTCATAGTAGTTTTGAATATTTTTTTTGAAATGGATGATAATGGAATGGTGGCTCCGCCAGCTTTAACCGAGCTCTTCTCTAGTTGGCCACCAGTAATAGCTGAGAATGAAGAGGCAGGTCAGTTGGTTTCCAGGGGAGACCACAAGGAAGTCGACCTGACAGAGTATATTTCTAGCATTGGGTCTGGTAGTCTGCATTACAAACAATCCCTTCCTCCCTTCCCCGTTTTGAATAGAATAGTATCCATAATAAAAGTACCTACCTGTTCTCAAGTGTGACAGATGAGTCTAATACATTTGCACTCAACTATACTTTCGGCAGCTCAGTGTTCTGGTTTATAACTCTTCATTTGTTTACAGCATGTAAATCTATTTTGTTTTATACATATTAGAAAATCAAATTAGTTGACAGCATACCTGGTAATAGCCTATAGACACGAATAGTACCATTGACATCACATAAAATATTGCGACAACCACCGACTCTTTCATGCACTGCCAGTCCTGAGAATTAAGGGTTTAGGTTTTTTGATTCTATTCTTATATATTTATCATAGCAAATTAATATTAGTCGGTTTTGTATCTCTTTTAGCAAAAAGTGCATGCAGATGCAACACCTAATTGAATTCATTTAGTTTTCAGTCATTCAAGTACAGTTGCTTGGAATAAAAAATTGAAGTAAGATAAAAATACTTATTAACGCAAAAACTTATGTTTCTATCAAGGGTTCTAATCATGAATATGTATATAATAAACTAGATATAGAAACACTTTTTATATTATTTTCCTTGGATTTTTACTTTTGGCTTTAGTAATATATCAGTTTGACACAGATATATTGATGCTATATGTAGTAATTAACCAACCAACAAAAATGCATAATTTAACCCGTTACAAAGGAATTTAATTAGAACTGGAAGTTACATCTTATACATTGTACTAAGTCTATTACCATGATAGCAAAGGCGTATTATCATCTAAATATTTTAAAAATTTCTTATGAAATATATTATAAGACAGAAACTAAATTTTATTATAAATATATATAAGTAAGGATGGCACAGATAACGTAGGAAATATACGAAAAATATTATATATATAACTATATATATATATATATATATATATATATATATATATATATATATATATATATATATATATAGTTATATATATATATTATATATATATATATATATATATATATAGTTATAATAAATGTAAATTTTTAAAACCCATCAAGTTATTAAATTATTGAAAATAATACAAGATAGTTGTCCAATTGCCAGGAACGGTAGTTTGTCCGATCGAACTTTCATATAAACTTTCGAAACTGGGCACGCTAGCTTCCGTAATCAGATTCTCGTAGTCAGGTTCCGACTTCAGATCTACAGTATTCAAGTCCGTGTCATTCCTTGAACACTCCGTAATGTCTCCAGGAGTAGGTACAAACGTGTCAGCAATCGAAGCCTTGGCTTTTGCATATCCGAGGCTGTACAAAATCTTATCAAGGATCCCTGTAGCTCTAAATATGAAAAAGAGTATAACGATAGCAAGTCCTGACATCAAGCAGTCACAGGTACCACCTCTGTTCACCGGACAAGGGCCCCCGCCCCCGCACATTAAGCATTTAAGTCTCGAAGTCAATACAAACACGAAACAAATCGGTATAAGGGATATCATTTGAAGCACGAACGATATAAAGTTATATACGGTCTGCAGCAACATCCTGATTACGTTCTCGATCATTAGGATGATGGTCATCAAGACCCGCACCAGCATTTGGATACCGCATATTGCTGTTTGTAACAATGCGTGGACAGTTCGACACATCTTGGTCAATTACTCTGGAATAATCATAACAACCTATTAAAGGTTTTAGATGGTCAAAGTCAATAGGTATAGGCACGAAAAGCTGATTTTGTACAAAAGTTACTCTCTGTTTTAGCTTAGCTTCATTCGTGTTTCTGCTATGAAGCAGTTACTTGCATAGCTAAGTTTCTGTTTGATGAATGGGATATGGTAGTGAAATTGCACGGTACGGAAACATAACATCATAGTTCTCAGAAATGGCAACGCGTGCTGGATACCATAGGCACTTTATATTTTTAAGTATACTGTCCATATTTCAGTAAGTACTTCCAATAACTATATGGTTTCTTACTATTAGAAAAGGAGACTTATTATCATGCTCACTTAGCTAGTCTCATATTTTGAGTTTTTTATTTGTGCTTTGTTTCTTTAGTCATCATATACAATGGTCTGAGATTGAAAGAGAATGGTACCATACCGAATAATTATTCCTTATATAAAATTTTAGTAAAAACGTTTAATGTGTTTCCAAGTTAGTGTTTTTGTAGGTTAAATATTTGAATGTGGTTACAATACTACTAATAATTTACCTGGTAATTCTGCTGACTATATTCATTTATGTAGATATTTCAAATACTGATGCATGAAAATATTTTAACGTCAACGTAAAGGTAATTCACAATCTTGAAATATTGAAATCATTGGATACAGAAATAATACTGAAAAGTACAAAAAGATAAATTCATCTTTGACAAGTACGTTTCATCTGTCACAATTTATGGCCAGTATCACAGCCTTTTTTATACTCGTACCACGATGGTTGCAGACAAGCAGTTTTTATAGCATAAAGGTGGTAAACAAGCATATAGTCTTTTTGTCCCACAGAAGTGCATACCCAGACATTTAAAAAATATTTAGAATATTTTTTTTAGATTTAGCACTTGTGTTTTTATAGATAATAATTTCGCCTCTATTATTTATTTGTTGGTAAATAAGAAACACTTGATCATATGGTCTCGGTACAGAATGGACCATCCCTTCCTTTCCCGTAAATGTCTAAGATGCAGCTAAGGAACCTTAATGGTCTCGAGGAGGATAGCAGCGCTCGCCCTCCCTTATTCGATTCATACGACACCCACGGGAAAGGAAGGGCCGGCCTATTACATGCCGGGATCACACGGCATAAACAGCTAATATGAAAAACATTTATAATGTTAAAATATTTAATTGAATTAACATACCACACGTTAATAATTTATTAAATAAACTATATAATTATAATAATATCAACATTACGAAACATTAGATATTTAGTGCACAATTTTGCCTGTTATGTGCAATAGTGAATTAGTTGAATATCCGTTTAGAGCTTGTACGCTTGACGCATCATCAGGTCGAAGTAGCAGTCATTGTCGATTGATACGCTGATGCCGCTGTAGTAGTTCATAAACTCCTCCAGAGTTACCTGTAAGTAACGAAAGAATGATATTTTTGTTATCTATATTGGTTCAATAGAAATGTTATTAAATCAGTTTAATTTATAATGAGAATAGTTGATTGCGATATTAAAAATCGGTGCTTTCTTGTAGAATAAAATCTTAAAAAACTATAGTTTGAGTGACGATTGTCACTGGTATAAATGAGGGATTTTTTATTTGGGGAAAAAATCCATTGTTTTAGTTGCAAACTTGGTCTAATACTTGTGCAATATGTTACTAAAACCCTTTACGTCAGATAGTACTACCTTCACAGAAATATCCCATTCGTGTTTCAACTGTGAAGCAGTTGCATTTGCATGGCTGTGTTTCGGTTTGAAGGGTGGGATATGGCGTGAATTAACTGGGTACAGAGGAATAACACCTGAGTCCTCAGGAATAGCAACGCATGGGGGGTATCATGGGCGAAGCAGTATACTCTGTCCATGGTACTGCTCATGTCTATAGGCAACGGTTACCACTTTCCATCAGGTGGGTCATCAACTTGTTTGCCATTCTAAGTTGTATAAAAAATTTGCAGTAAATATTTTACGTTATTTTGGAAATTCAAAGAAGCATTCACAGTTTCATGAATTAGAATAATTGAGAAAAGCTTCAAAAATTCCATAATTGAGTAGATATTAATTCAATGTAAAAACTGTTTTATCAAAATCAATCGTGTAAATTATACAATATTAAAACATCCATTGTAGGAAGTCATGTAAAACGTGTCTTAAATAGATTATGAAAAATCTTCTATCGTATATTGTTATATTTAATTCATTGCTCTGCAAGTGATCTCACTTGTATATACTTGTATATTTATATATAAATATTTTCTTATCTTTTGTTTATTGTTTTAAAACTGTAAATTACATCATAGTCGTTCATGAAGTCACTATATGACTTGCAGAGAATAACAGCGTTGTGGCAGTAAATAAACTGCCATAGCATAATTTTGAGTGTTCGCCACGTTAGTAACTAATTGTTACAAATTATTATTATTGTTTTTTTTTATATTTTGTTTTGTAAATGTAATTGGTTGTCAATAAAGGTTTTCTGTCTTTCCTTCTTCTTTATTTCTTCCTTCCTTCCTTTCTTTCTTTCTATTGTATATGATTGTGTTAATATGAAATAGCATGTATTTATGATCAACATTAATTTCTTTTACCACGTGGACGAACATGATATGAAAATAAACTATAAAATATACATACCTTTCCATCGATCGAGCCTTCCGATTCAAAGTTAGCGAGGAATTTGTTTAATATTACTTCAGCAGTTTCTTCTCCGCTCATGTACCTGGAATAAGAGGTAATTAGATCATCAAACGTACTAGCAAACTAGTTGGCGCTTTTAATATGATTTTGTCATAATGATACAAAAAGGAAAGTAAAGAATGTAAAACGAAAATGTGGATAACCATTAACCGCAAAAACCATTGCAGGTTGTCACTGTATTCATCCAAAATTAAAAAAAAAAAATCTTAATTGGTTAGATTTACATTGGTATTATACCAATCGATTAGATATAGATTTGCAAGAATAAAATTATTTTCATTGATTTATGGAAAATCATATTTTAAAATTAAAACGTTAGAATAATATTATATTTCCTTCCTGTTCCTTTCTCGTGGGTGTCCCAAGAGGCGATTAGGGGAACTTAATGGTCGAGGCATTGGCAGTAGTGTATCTTAAAACACCACCAAAGTCTAATTGCGGTTGCCAGCCCGCCTGCCAAAAGTAGTAACTACTAGCAAAACTCTCCAATAGGGAGATGCCTGTTCAGCAGTGGACATTTAAAGGCTAATATGTTATGGTATTACAATAATGTAGTGCCGATATCGTTTTCAAATATTTTACTTGGCAGTAAAATCTTCTCGTATTTGATGATATCGCTTAGAAAATTAACCCTTTGCACTCCGTTCTCGCATATTTGCGACATTAAAATGCTAACATTAAATCCACTGTCGCGGCTACGGCGACACGATTGTTTTAGCGCCTCAGTATCCTTTATAAAATAGCTAAGAAATACATGTCATAATACAAATTATTGCAACGACTCCATTTTTCTTTTACATCACAGGTATGTACTTGTAACTTATATAGTGCTGGAGTTATGGGTATCCTCTATGAGTTATTAGGCTGGAGTGCAAAGGGTTAAACAAATGCGCGATTTTATATATATATATATATATATTTATATATATATATATTAATAAATATGTTTGTCGATTTATTTCGTATAGTGCTATATGTATATCATATTGTATTATTAGTGATATTCATACTTATCATGTATGTAGCTTGACGATAGTTACTACTTTTAAGCTGACTTTAAAAAGAAATAGATTTTCAATTCTGTTTTATATTTTCTTATATTTATTATCTCATAACTCCGTGAGTTATAAACAGATTTGAAAAATTCTTTTATATCTGAAAGGAAATACTTACAGACTAGTTCCATAGAAATTTAATCTATATCGGTTCAATAGTTTTATTTTTAAATCAAATAAACTGGTTTTGCCAAATTGAAGTCAGTTTTATTGTGAAACATTATCTTATTTTTTTTATGGGTGAAAATGGTATGGTAACCCCGCCAGTGAAGGGTGATAGATGAGAATGAAAACAGGCCATCATGATGAATTCATCAAGAATTAACCATGATAGTTTCCAGGGAGAACCGCGAGGAGATCGACCTAGTTGGGTATATTGCTAGCAATGGAATTCTCAGTCTCCATTACTAACAATCCCTTTCCCCCCAATATTATCTTATTAGTTGAAGGTTATGAGCTTGTTTACTATTTCAAGTTGTTTAACGTTACCATGGGTACGAAATAATATAATAGATTGCTTGGAAGAGATCGCTATTTATGGATAAGGCCGTTGTTGCCTCTTTATCTTGTTTTTTTTTTATAAATGATGATGGAATGGTAATCCCGCCCGCGCTAACGGTGTACACCAGTGAGGGATGATAGGTGAAGATGAAAAGGCAGGCCAGTTAGCCCATTATAAACACACCAGGAATTCAGCACGACAGTTTCCAGGTGGGACCACGTGGAGGTCGACCTGATAGATATTGCTAGCAATTGGGCCCTTAGTCGCCATTACGTCTAAACTGTTTGTCGTCGTCCCCCCCTTTTACCTTGGTTTTATGTTATTACTAACTACTACTGCTCATGTCTATAGGCGACGATTACCATTTTCCATCAGTCGGGCTGTCAGCTTGTTTGCCATACTAAGTTGTATATAAAAAAATATTAAGTTTATGTGATTAATTATTCAGTTTGTTTGTGTGCATATTGTTAATCTTTATAATCTGTGTCATTATTTGAAGGGTTTTTAAGAGTTTTCATTCATTAATTCATTCGTTCAATATACCTGGGATGCGCTGTGACAGAGTACACTCCGCGGATGTCGTCTATAGTGATAGAGCCATCTCCGGTCTTGTCCAACTTCTTAAAAGCCTGCTCCACTATTGCTCGACGGGATTCCGACATTGGTGGCTGAAAATTGGTAACATTTTTACCCATTAACAGACCTCCTTTTATATAAGTTTACCTTTTTAGATTTTATATTTTTCTATTTTGAATATGTTGTTTTGTAACTTTTTTGTTTTTTTTTTTACGTTATTGACATTTATACACCTTTCTGAACGAAATAAAAAGTGGGAAGTCTCTAATTATATTTATTTATTGACGCCGCTCTTCCCTACCAGCGTACATTTAATAATTAAGTAGCTTCTAGGCATGGATGATATCGATACATGCTTATATATATGTATATATATATATATGTATAATGTAGGTAATATGAGTATTATGTGTATGTATTATTATGAGTATTATTGTATTAATTTAATATTGTTTATTACGTTGCATCGTCAATTATATTTTTTGTTATTATGGTTGACTGGAGATAACGCCATATGATGTTAAGTCTGCTATTTGCACTTTGTAGGTGTATTAAAGTTTAATGAATATATATATATATATATATATATATATATATATATATATATATATATATACCTACCCGTATCTGAATGAGGAACTCGTCGAGGCTGATCGAACCGCTGTTGTCGGTGTCGAATTTCTTAAACAGCTCTTCTGCATCCTGTCACAAACAATGTTTGGTATTTTATTGATTTATTATATTACTAACTAGTGATAGAACCCGGCTTCAGATGGGTAGGCAAAATTATCGAAAATAACATATAGATTATGTTACTTGCTGATAATGTAGCTTTCTATAAGTGGATGAAAGAATTTTTAAAATCGGTTAAGATGAGTTTATCCATTAAACAAGAAGAAAAATGCCTTCTCTGAAATATATTATAATATTATAATATTACTACGAGAAAACATAAAATTTTTTGTATGTTTGTTTGTTTTTGTATATCATTCTAGCTTTTCACCCGCTACTTCGTATGCGTAGATTTTGGAAGTAGGAAAACCAATGAAATAGAACACTTCGAGATAGTGTATGAAAATAAATTTAAAATCTAGACTATACGTTCAGATTTTAAGAACACAAGACCTTCAAGAACACAGTTGTGGAAACCGCATCCAATTTAGTGTAGTACTTTTTATGTGATGCCGAAGCAAACGTACATAAGACAAACATATCGCCCATGTACAGTCAGTTTCATTATATTTATCATTATAGTATGATTTTAATTATTTACAAATTTAAATAGTCATTATTAATAAGTTAATAACTATTATTTATTATTTCATTTGGTAATACGAGAAGTTACCTCAATGAAAAATAATATAAATTTTCTGTAGTAGTATAAACTGCATGGATTACCCCAAACCTTGTGGGATGCTATGAAGTTAATAGGGCAATAATAAACCTACTCCAGTAATACCATAAGAACATATGATAATACACATCTTATGGGACCATTATAGGCCTATGGTGCGGGGACAAGGGCTGTTAGTAATGGTGAGGTCAGTCTTCATCTGTCGTGGGAGATCACTATTATGTTTTTTTTTTTTAATGGATGATAATGTAATATAACCAATGAGGGATGATAGGTGAGAATGAAAAGGCAGGTCAGTTAGCCCATCGCAATGCACATACCTCGAATTAAGCACGAGAGTTTCCTATATTTTTATTCTAATTTATTTTCGTATAAACTTTACCTCTTTGCTTAGCTCCAATCCTGTTTCCTTAATGCCGTTAAGAAACTCTTCTTTGTTTAGCTGCTTGCTACCATCATCGTCCATGCGGCGAAAGATTCTGGAAACAGAATTTAATTAAATTTATTAAACACTAATTAATATCTTAAGTAAATAAGTATATTTTACAAAAAAGTACATAATATAGGCTTAAAATTACATGGCATTGTGTACTAAGTCCAGTGATATTTATTTCGTTATTTATTTAAATAAATAACAATAATAAATACAGTATAGGTGAGTTCTTGACGCAAATTATTTAGTTTTATAAAGACTATCACTAGATTTATTATTCCATCTCAGATATACAATGCCTGTTTTCAGGCAATTTTAATTTAAATTTCGCATTGGACTTAATTTTGGACAGTCATACTTTTTTATGTCTATTACAATATAGATAAAACATAATGTATGACAATACTGCATGACCAAAGGGAAACTTTATATAAAACATCTGTCTTATCTGTCTTTCTACTGTCAAGTAGATGTATGTACTCGCATAACTGTGTTTTGCTTTGAAGGTCCCTTGACCTTATTCTTTAGGAATAGCAACGCCATGGGTGCCACAACATATTTATGTTACCAGTAACCACCTCATTGTTCGACAGTTACCATAGTCCATCAGGTGGATCAGCTTGTTTCCTATGTCTAGGTATATAAAAAAGGTTTTGTCTAACATATCCCTCACCTCGAAAGTCCCATAATTCCTGAAGCACCACGAGACAGGCATAGCAGACGTAACTTTTCCAGCGGGTCGGTGGTAGTGGCGAGGGCTCTGGTACTCTTTTGTATGAGTTCCTCCTCCACACGGGAGGAAGCCGACTGAGGTCTGTGCCATGCTACTGTAAATACAAATTATATATTTTCATTAAAGGTATTATTAAGTCGTCATATGCATCATTTTTAATTACTAGACTAGACTATCCCTTTCCTTTCCCACGGGTGTCGCAGAGGCAACTAAGGGAACTTGATGGTCGAGGGATGGGCAGCATCGTCCCTTTTAAAACATTACCAAAACCTAACTGCGGTTGTCAACTCACCTGCCAAGCTAGTAGATAGGCTAATTCCAGATATGCGATTGATCTGTTGATCTTTATAATAGGAGAATTTTTAAGTCACACATAAAAAAATTGTTTATTAAAATTGCCTATTTTTAACTATTTATTCTTCAAAATTAATAAGTTGAATATACTGTCTATATCAAGAAGGCGCTGTTTTAATACGAATAGTCCGATGGGATGAAAATGGTAAACCCGCTTGCGCTATAGTTATGATACACGCTGACATTGGGGTATTTAAGATTGTCTTGCAAGAAGGTCCCCGCCTATTGAAATTAAGCGCTTTGTTAGACACGCACTCTTCTAAGAGATCATCTCCCAATTCTGGGATAAGAACCAGACAATTCCGTGGTGAGCAAGGTCAAGACGGACCCTCAAAATATGTCTATATATATTGTCGGATAACAGTGAGTGGTAATAGGAGAGAATGAAGTCAGGTACCTTAGCTCATTGTCACATATTTACAAGGAATAAATAATTCCAAGAAAGACAGCGCGGAGATCAAAAAGGTAGGGTGTATTGCTCGCAATGGGGCCATCAGATCTCATTATTAATAATCCCTCTGAACAATAAACAGGGCACGTTTGATAGTAAATGGTTACTGTAGGTTATAAACGACAGCACTAGGCCGAATAGGTACGTGTTGCCAGCCCTAAAAACCTGTTGTCTCTAGAGTGTCGACGTGTTAATTAATATTAATGATTATAAAAATATAGGTAGATATGTATTCTAATTCAAATAGTAAGTTGTTTGGTGAAACATAATTGCCCAATTTAATTCATTTCGCTACGAATTAGTCACGCGAACCCAAACTGTATTATAACAATAACGACCAAATACGAGTAGTTTCTTTACTAGGAATAGTTTATATTTATAAAAATATAATAATTAATTTCGTACTTATTGTATAAAAAAATAATATATAGTGTACTAAATATATTTTGCAATTTTCATTAAAGAATTAATAAAATAATAAATGTGTGTACAAAAGTCTGAAAATGTGTCTAAGTATATAGTAAATATTAAATACAAACAAAACAAAGATTTACGTGATAATAGTCAATAATTATAATGAAAATTATAATGTTTCTATTGAAACATTTTTAGAGAAAATACTTTGTTTTACTTTGTACTAGATGTTAAAATATAAACGTCCAAAAGCATAATCAATGGCATCAGTTTGCATTCGTTACGTTTATACCTATTTTTTATTTTCACATTAACCTACCTACATTAATCTACATTCACCTTCTTTATCCTGGGACCTACTTTATAAAATATACAAAGAGAACTGAATGCTCAAGATTTTTACCCTTATATAAGTTCAGTAGAGAGACATATGTGCATTATGACTACTAGGTATCTATCTAGTATCAATTCCAGTCAATACGTCTCTTATAAGAATGAGAAGTAGATTTTGCTCCACAAAAAAGAAACAATCTTGGCAAAAATAGTAATTATGATTTCATAACTAAACTTTTGAACCAATTTTGAAGAATTTTCATAGGACCAACCATAAAGTATATTTTAAATAAAAAAAATCCGAATCGGTTTATTAAAAACATAAAAAACCCGAATTGATAATCTCTTCCATTTATTGAAGTAGTTTCAAATACGGTGATCAGTAGACAATGTTCAGAATGACCTATTATTTTCGTGTCGTAATATTTTGCAGATAAATAATGCAGCAGAAAGAAACTACATTTCATTTTACGCTACGAGTACAGTCGGCACATTATTTTTATATTACCGTTACCCCGTTGCCATGCTAGCTGTGGATACAAATCGATACCGGCGACAAACAACAATAAATTAGTTTTCTACATAAAATATATTTGATGAAATATGTTATTAAGTACACTAAGATATTAAAGCTTTGTACGAGAAGGGAAATCGTATTCATAAGACGTTAATCACCTATTTGAAACATAATTTTTTATGCTAACGTAATTTCAAATCCATTTCACCTATTATTTTCTTGAATTTTTATAATTACAATTATATTTATGAGTTTTGTTCAATGTTAAGAGACCAAAAATTTTTAATTTTAAGTCAAATTAAGCTAAAGCAATTATTTTTTTATTTTATTTTTTATTGGCATAAAAAAAGGAAACCTAAATAACCACAGAAACAGATTACTTACTATTGGACGTAGTTTTAGGTTTGCCAAGATACATCTTGGTTATTTTCACTATATTTGCACATGTATGTATTTAGAGAGCACGTGTCGGGTCACAAATAGTCCCGCATTTTGCGATACGTCTCTAAGCTGTCAGAACTGCAATGCTATTCACTAAAAATCTACCGCAACGCTGCGCCCGCCGACGAGCTCTAGACTGCAATGCTATTCACTAAAAATCTACCGCAACGCTGCGCCCGCCGACGAGCTCTAGACTGCAATGCTATTCACTAAAAATCTACCGCAACGCTGCGCCCGCCGACGAGCTCTAGGCTGATCAGCCTTGCGAACGACCGTGGCTACAGCGCTGCGGTAATTGGTATTCACTAACGTGTCAAACCTCATCGACGAACTGTAGGCTGTGATAACTCGAGGCTGTGCGCACGGACGAGATAGGGCTTGCAACAAAAACCGTAAAATGAAACCGATAACTGTAGAAATATAATATTTTATTGACAAATGGAATGTTTTATTCAGTTTAGAATGTTATTTAAATAAATATTATATAAAATAAACATAAATTTATACATCAAACATTTGATTTTGTTTTTTAAAGTTAAGATTTGTTTGAATACCCTTGCTTCCATTGCCGTAAAATAAACAAATAACACTTATACGTAGGTACGTAGAGAGTATTATATTCCTTGTACTTAACATTCCAGAGGCGCACTTTTTGTATTTGTTTATTCTCTTTTAAAAATAATTAATAAAATTAACGTAACTTTACCAACTTTTTATAAGTTTGGATGTATCTATCAAATACGTAAGTAAAATGTGCTTTTTATTTACTTGTATTGTTTTTAAGGTTATATTTTTAGTAACTAAAATAAATGCATATCTCGTAATATGCCATGAAATGAGGTCCCTTCGCAAAGTAGTCGGAGATGCTGATGGATTATATAAAGAATCAGACATGGCTTGTGACAGGACATACACGAACAGAAAAAAGGATTAATTATATTTTTGTGGAGTATCTTAAATAAATAACTAATTTATAATTTTAGAATTATGTGTCTAATTGGTCTTATTGTTATTTTTAGGTCCACGCCGTCATTTGACTGACAGTATCCCGATGACACTTATCTCCTTCACAATAGCAGCCTCAACTAGAAAGAGAGTAGTCTCACAAAGATTTGTTGCCACTGAAGAGCACCGAGTAGAGACAGAACAAATTTTGATAGAGAATCAGACAACACTAGTTCATATCTTATAGCTAATGAATGAGATATGACTAAATTAAAGTCAGCCATTGTACGATTTAATTAAAATTTTTTAAAAAAATGTCAAATAATTTTTATTCAATTAAATTTAAAATATTATAAATGGTAATTCTTTATGATTCTACCATCCATTGTGAAGAAGGGGAGAAACCTCAATTTTGGTTTTTAAAATACTAATAGATTTTACAATAATACATTTCTAAAAATATACACTGCCAAACATAACAAGAGTTATTGGAATTATTAGTTAAATCAAGTTCATTATTGAAAATATAAGATTAAATTATGTCATTTAATAGTCATTAGTAATTTTGAAATATAAGTTTCATCTTATATAATTTTCAAATAAAAACACAATTACAATAAAATTTTATAATTATAAACTTGTTTCAATTTCAAATAAATAATTTTTAATGAATATTTTTTTTAATTTCTTACTCCATACTAGTTATAATATGAATTAATTATAATAATTTTAAATTAAAATATACATTTACAACATAATATAATATTAATTTTAATTCACAGGTAGACAAAAATGTAACAATAAAAAAGTATTTGAAAATAGTTTTAAGATATAAGTACAAAAAGTATAGCTAGCTTATTTTCAGACTACAAAATTTTCTTTTGTGCTTCTTCATTTTGTATAGATGATGTAACTGCATCATATTATCAGCATATCACAAACAATACAGCAATACACTACTATTATTGTGGCTGTCCAAGGGTTTGTGTCATGCTACTAAATGAGTTTCAAAATCACCTGAAAAAAAACAAGTAATGTTAATTATTTTTAATTAGCCACATAGCCAATCCTGAATTTATGTGTGTCATGTTTTTTAAAACTATGATTTTGAAACAATTTTTTATAATAGTTTCAACCTGAATGCTAAATTTAGTGGTCTAATTTAACAAAAATTAATTGACATGAATTAATAATTTACTACATGTTTAACTAAGTTGGTTTCTTTCTAACATATTAGACATAGTTATTTTTATACAAAACCAGAGGCCACTAAGCTTATGGATCACCTAATGGGAAACGGTTACCATGATCCATGAATATTTGTAACACCAGAAGTATTATTATGCATACTAGAATACTTGTTACACACCATTATTAACTAGCTAGTTGTTCCCTACACAAACATCTGCTGACACAATTAAGCTTGTCTCAATAAAATAAACAAGTGCACACAATCACTGCAAAGTATTCTTTTTCCTGCTTTAAATTTATTTATGTACCTAATACCATCAATTAATAAAATTTAAGTTACAAACCTTTAGCTTTAACAACTCTCTGGAACAGGCATACATGGTGACAATTCTTTTTCTAACATATTGATTAATTCTTCAGAAAGTCGGTAATGATGAATATAATCCACATCACATAAAGTTGTTGATTGTCGGCATTTCTTACAATCATTTTCTATTTTAGCTTCTTTCAACAAATGGGTCATTACACATAAACGGGCAGCAATCGTTTTTAAACACAAATTGATAATTTCAATACAATTAATAATCACAGAATTCAAGAAACAAATAAATATATTAGATGAATACTATGCAAACAGCGTAGAAAACAAAGCTTTTGAGTTTGACATAAGAAATCGAGGCTGTAGGCTAGGCTGTCGGCGAAGGCGAGGCTGATTTTTGTTAGTGAATACCAAATACTATGGCAAAATGTCAAATCGCACAGCCTTGAGTAGTTCCCGTTTATGCCGCTCGTCTTTGAGCTCGTCTTTGGGCGCTAGTGTCGCGTCTTAAGAATTAGTGAATACCATTTCAATATTTCATCGCTGCGTCAAGGCTGATGTCTAGGCTGTTTGCTTAGAGAATAGCACTACTGATCAGCCTTGCGAACGACCGTGGCTACAGCGCTGCGGTAATTGGTATTCACTAACGTGTCAAACCTCATCGACGAACTGTAGGCTGTGATAACTCGAGGCTGTGCGCACGGACGAGATAGGGCTTGCAACAAAAACCGTAAAATGAAACCGATAACTGTAGAAATATAATATTTTATTGACAAATGGAATGTTTTATTCAGTTTAGAATGTTATTTAAATAAATATTATATAAAATAAACATAAATTTATACATCAAACATTTGATTTTGTTTTTTAAAGTTAAGATTTGTTTGAATACCCTTGCTTCCATTGCCGTAAAATAAACAAATAACACTTATACGTAGGTACGTAGAAATTATCTTTTTGAAGACTAGGCAGCATGGTCTCCGACCTTAGCCTGTTCCAAACGGAACAAACGTACTAAAAAAAAAAAAGTAGGTACGTAGAGAGTATTATATTCCTTGTACTTAACATTCCAGAGGCGCACTTTTTGTATTTGTTTATTCTCTTTTAAAAATAATTAATAAAATTAACGTAACTTTACCAACGTTTTATAAGTTTGGATGTATCTATCAAATACGTAAGTAAAATGTGCTTTTTATTTACTTGTACTGTTTTTAAGGTTATATTTTTAGTAACTAAAATAAATGCATATCTCGTAACATGCCATGAAATGAGGTCCCTTCGCAAAGTAGTCGGAGATGCTGATGGATTATATAAAGAATCAGACATGGCTTGTGACAGGACATACACGAACAGAAAAAAGGATTAATTATATTTTTGTGGAGTATCTTAAATAAATAACTAATTTATAATTTTAGAATTATGTGTCTAATTGGTCTTATTGTTATTTTTAGGTCCACGCCGTCATTTGACTGACAGTATCCCGATGACACTTATCTCCTTCACAATAGCAGCCTCAACTAGAAAGAGAGTAGTCTCGCAAAGATTTGTTGCCACTGAAGAGCACCGAGTAGAGACAGAACAAATTTTGATAGAGAATCAGACAACACTAGTTCATATCTTATAGCTAATGAATGAGATATGACTAAATTAAAGTCAGCCATTGTACGATTTAATTAAAAATTTTTTAAAAAAATGTCAAATAATTTTTATTCAATTAAATTTAAAATATTATAAATGGTAATTCTTTATGATTCTACCATCCATTGTGAAGAAGGGGAGAAACCTCAATTTTGGTTTTTAAAATACTAATAGATTTTACAATAATACATTTCTAAAAATATACACTGCCAAACATAACAAGAGTTATTGGAATTATTAGTTAAATCAAGTTCATTATTGAAAATATAAGATTAAATTATGTCATTTAATAGTCATTAGTAATTTTGAAATATAAGTTTCATCTTATATAATTTTCAAATAAAAACACAATTACAATAAAATTTTATAATTATAAACTTGTTTCAATTTCAAATAAATAATTTTTAATGAATATTTTTTTTAATTTCTTACTCCATACTAGTTATAATATGAATTAATTATAATAATTTTAAATTAAAATATACATTTACAACATAATATAATATTAATTTTAATTCACAGGTAGACAAAAATGTAACAATAAAAAAGTATTTGAAAATAGTTTTAAGATATAAGTACAAAAAGTATAGCTAGCTTATTTTCAGACTACAAAATTTTCTTTTGTGCTTCTTCATTTTGTATAGATGATGTAACTGCATCATATTATCAGCATATCACAAACAATACAGCAATACACTACTATTATTGTGGCTGTCCAAGGGTTTGTGTCATGCTACTAAATGAGTTTCAAAATCACCTGAAAAAAAACAAGTAATGTTAATTATTTTTAATTAGCCACATAGCCAATCCTGAATTTATGTGTGTCATGTTTTTTAAAACTATGATTTTGAAACAATTTTTTATAATAGTTTCAACCTGAATGCTAAATTTAGTGGTCTAATTTAACAAAAATTAATTGACATGAATTAATAATTTACTACATGTTTAACTAAGTTGGTTTCTTTCTAACATATTAGACATAGTTATTTTTATACAAAACCAGAGGCCACTAAGCTTATGGATCACCTAATGGGAAACGGTTACCATGATCCATGAATATTTGTAACACCAGAAGTATTATTATGCATACTAGAATACTTGTTACACACCATTATTAACTAGCTAGTTGTTCCCTACACAAACATCTGCTGACACAATTAAGCTTGTCTCAATAAAATAAACAAGTGCACACAATCACTGCAAAGTATTCTTTTTCCTGCTTTAAATTTATTTATGTACCTAATACCATCAATTAATAAAATTTAAGTTACAAACCTTTAGCTTTAACAACTCTCTGGAACAGGCATACATGGTGACAATTCTTTTTCTAACATATTGATTAATTCTTCAGAAAGTCGGTAATGATGAATATAATCCACATCACATAAAGTTGTTGATTGTCGGCATTTCTTACAATCATTTTCTATTTTAGCTTCTTTCAACAAATGGGTCATTACACATAAACGGGCAGCAATCGTTTTTAAACACAAATTGATAATTTCAATACATTTAATAATCACAGAATTCAAGAAACAAATAAATATATTAAAAGAATACTATGCAAACAGCGTAGAAAACAAAGCTTTTGAGTTTGACATAAGAAATCGAGGCTGTAGGCTAGGCTGTCGGCGAAGGCGAGGCTGATTTTTGTTAGTGAATACCAAATACTATGGCAAAATGTCAAATCGCACAGCCTTGAGTAGTTCCCGTTTATGCCGCTCGTCTTTGAGCTCGTCTTTGGGCGCTAGTGTCGCGTCTTAAGAATTAGTGAATACCATTTCAATATTTCATCGCTGCGTCAAGGCTGATGTCTAGGCTGTTTGCTTAGAGAATAGCACTACTGAACACCAACTGAACAAGAAGAAGAAAGAATGGAGCGAATGAATGGAGTATTAGAAAAATATTCATTAACAACATCGACCTAGTTCCTGACGCAGGAAATGTTATGATTGTATCTAGTTTGTTCGATTCTGGGTAGGGCCGGGCATTGTTTAACATATTGTATTCATTCAGTAGTTTATTAGGTAATAGGGTTTCAGATAAAAGATAAATTAATAAAATACTACCTGCATACATGGGCATAAAAACATTGCAGAAATTTCTCCTAACATATCTCCCTACCTTCTTTTTAGTAATAATGAATTAATTAAAACATTTATTACTTTTTTGACAAATAAATAAGTATCGACGACATAGGTACGACTTGTATTTTAAAAAATACAACCAAATTAAGAAGCTTCTTCATTTTGAAGTCGGCTGAAAATATAATTTATATAAGTAACAATTTTTTTTTGATGGGTGAAAATGGAATGGTAACCCTGCCTGCGCTAACGGGATACGCTGGCGGAGCACTAGTGAAGGGTGATAGATGAGAATGAAAACAGGCCAGTTAGCCCATCATGATGAATTCATCAGAAATTAACCATGATAGTTTTCAGGAAGAACCGCGAGGAGGTCGACCTGGTTGGGTATATTGCAATGGGATTCTTAGTCTCCATTACTAACAATCCCTTTCCCCCCAAGTAACAAATTTAGGTTTGTTCTCATTACTAATTACCTTATGGTGTATTACAGTAACTAATGGAATTTCGTATAAATGAACTAATAATAGAAAACCTTAATAGAGAATTTATAAAAGAAAAACGATGTATTGTACTTATTATATCCTACAGACAGTGATTTATGACTTTACTTTTAATTCTAAATAAGTAGTAGACACGACTTCTCCATAAACCCCTTAGGCAGATGACGAAACAGGGTGCCGAACGTCGCTGTCTCATTCTATCTCATGCACCCGATAGCGATAATGTATCTATCGATTTATAGATTGGATAGCAACTTGAGACTGGAATCTTATTATAACGTACATATGTAATCTATTATGTAATGGTAAAAGAGATTGTTAGTACTGGGAAGTAATAGGCCTATTACTTTTAGATCGACCTCCACGCGGCTGCCCCGGAAAATATCGTGGTTAATTCCAGATAAATATGTTACGCTGAGCTATATGACCTACTTTCATCCTCGTCTAGTATTCTACGCTGGTACACTGCCAGCGTGTACTAATAGCGCAGGTGGAATGTCTTTTAATTTTTTATCCATCAATAAAATTCCTTTATATTTGTAAGAATCAACATATTGATTTTACATTAATATTTTAATTAATTCAATTAATATAAGCTCCATATATATATATATATATATATATATATATATATATATATATATATATATATATATATATATATACATATAATTGATATATATTATTATTGTTCTTCAAAGACGGACTTTTTCCAGTCAAATAAACCTATTGTCATACATATGTATACGGAAAATTTATCTCTTCGATTTATAATTTTATGCTCTCAAAAACGAATGGACGCTGCTCCGGAGGGAAATCTTATTGGATGTGCTCGAGAGACAAACGTCAGACCAGTGTTGCCAAGTTAGTGAAACTAAAAATGCTGAGTATCAATATATTTTAAAATGCTGTCTAAAAAATTCAATTTACATATATGGGCTCCGTTAAATGGTTTAAAGTTCCCAAATTTAACCTAAAGATAACATTGCAGCTGATGATCGTCAACTTAATACAATAATGTCATAGCAAATGCGATTAATCAAACGATCTTGAGATTGCATCAAATATTTTTAGAGTCTAGAGGGAGACTTTGTACAAAAGTCGATTGCTTGGGTACCTCTGTTCCATTCGTGTTTCAACCGTGAAGCAGTTGTGTTTGCATAGCTGTGTTTCGGTTTGAAGGGTGGGATATAGCGTGAATTTACAGGGTACAGAGGAATAACATCTGAGTCCTCAGGAATGGCAACGCATGGGGGGTATTATGGGCGAAACAGTACACTCTGTTATGTCCATGGTACTACTCATGTCTCTAGGCGACGGTTACCACTTTCCATCAGGTGGGCCGTCAGCTTGTTTGCCATTTTAAGTTGTATAAAAAAAAGTCTCTCATTGCGTTCTGTAGGTTTAGTAATTGCAATAGATGTGTACAATTCCCGTGTGGTCCCAGCAAAGAATATACCACCCAATTCTTTCCTTGGGTGTCGCAAGAGGCAACTAAAGGAGGACGAGGGATGATCAGCAGCGTCCCTTTTAAAACATCTCCAAAGCTTAACTGGAATTATCAATCTGCCTGCCAAGCGTGGCAACTACTGGCAAAACCCCCCCAAGGGGGAGGCTTATTCAGCAGTGGACAGTTAAAAGCCGATATGATGATGATGAATACATGTCTAATTTCGCGTTGATATTCATAATTACCGGTCGTTGTGATTGTAGTTCCGTATATGGGGTCGTCTAAAGCGGTACATAAAATCGATTCCCTTGTTTGCTACGTACAATCCAATATTCATGATTTTAAACACTTGTAAATGTAACACATCATGCCATAATAGTATTATGTTGATTGGCGGGGTGAAAAGTATAATATTTTAAAGGCAAACAGTGCTTTACTCTTATAAAAAAATAATATACCTATCTGTGTATCTTCACGTCAAGTCCCGTTTTGGGTAGGCACAGAGATACGAATGTCTAAGGCCTCTATCCTTACATCTCTTGTTTTCATCTCCTCCAGAACTCGTCTCATAACGCACGTCGATTTCGCATTCATTTCAATAATCTAATATACAATTTATTATATCCCCAAAGATCCATATAACTTATTTACACGGTGTCGTGTGGTGGGTGACGTTTGCATGTCAAACGAACGTAACTTTAATCAACATGCAAGTTTCAATTAAATAGACGAATAAAATAGGTGATAAAGAAAAACACACAAATATAATTAAGCTATACCTATAGATACTTGATTCAAAATTTATTGAAGTATATACAGGTGAGACATGAGATAGTTTAACATGTGAAAATTCTAGAAAATAATCAGTCCTCTTAAACACAATAATATCAAGATAAGCGATGTAACAAAGTCACAAAACACTCACAAGTTACAAAAAATTTTATTTTATAGTAATTATATAGTACTGTATATCGCTCTTATGTAACTTTTAGCATAACCTTACACTTGAGACAAATGACTCGTAACTATATTTACCCAAGTTCTTAAACTCTAACCCCTTTATTCATAAAAATATCAATCCTTTTATAAAGTTTTTTTTATGCAACTTAGAATGGCAAACAAGCTGACGGTCCACCTGGTGGAATGTGGTAACCGTCGTCTATAGACTTGACCAGTAGCATGGACATAACAGAGTATACTGTTTCGCTTATGATACCCCCCCCCCCCCCATGCGTAGCCATTCCTGAGGACTTGGGTGTTATTTCTCTGTATTCTGTAAATTATCTGCCATGTTCCACCCTTCAAACCGAAATACAGCCGTGCAAACACAACTGCTTCACGGTAGAAACAGAAATGAAACAGAAGTGCCCAAGCAAACGACTTTTGTACAAAGTCTCCCTCTGGTAAATCCTCTTATAAACCTACTTTAGCTATAAAAATGTTTTGTCTCTTTCTTTTACGCTAATTTCTCAATTTAAAAGACAGTGACAAAATTTTAAGAGGTAAAATAAATTTGTAGGACCTTTTAGTTTTTATGAATAAGGAGGTTGAAATATAAATTATATTAAATACCTATTTATACATTTACGTATATGTGAGAAACAAAACCCATCTTGTTTTAAAAATCGTCAAATTAATTATTTTTGAAGACTGGTTTAGCATAGAAAATGATATTTCAGGATCGGTTCCAATCCTAATATCATCATCTTCCTACTCTTATCCCGATTATTATTTGGGGTCGGCCTAATATGATTTTATCCATATTACTAAAGGATTTGGCTTATAGTTATACGTCCGGCCGCCAATATATTAAATTAAAATCTATTGTCAAATTTTTATTTAAGATCTCAGTCCAATATTTTTGTAAAAATATCAATATAGATTACATTGTGATTTTTAAAAAAATATTAAAATTAAAAACTTAACTGTATGCTAATATCTACAGGATCATTTCCATACATACGTGTATATTTTTGATAAAATAATACAACCCGCATTTCCGTAACAGATTCTAGTTAACGTCTATGTGTATTTTTACACCTGTTACTAACGTAGTAACAACCTATCACTGATAATATAATAGTTACTACAAGTACATAAAATTATTCGCAAACATGTTAACAAATATAAAATAATTTTCCGCATTTAATAACATTATGAAAAGTTTTAATGTAAATGGTCGCAAATGTAGAGGGAGACCGAAAAAGAGATAAATGGAGACAGATGTAATGACATGGCCAGAAACGAAGTAAATAGATACCGAAATGACTACAAATAGTGATGTATTTAAAAGAAAAATATACGACCCCCTACGAATATGGAATATAGACATAAAGATGATACTGACTTATGCTTGTTTGAATCACGCTGCAGTCATCAATGCTTTCAGTGTTAGTTATCCTACATGTCTTGAATAGAGTTATCTTGCAAGATATCTACTTACATTATTGATTTACGGTTTCAAGTTCCAGTTCAGTTAGCTCATTGTAATGAGTTTGCTAGGATTTAACCACAATAATAATTATCTAGGGAGGACCGTAAATATGGAGATGGAGGTCAACCTAATAGTAATGAGGCCACTAGTAATCATTATTCATGATCTCCCTCCACCTTTAGTATTTAAAATAAACTAGATGTTTTTCACAATAGCTAATCTGGATATGTGATCTACATGCCAATATTAGGTCAAGAACTTAATAAAGCAACGCTTGAATGGTTTTATATTTGCTTTGTTTTACCACACAATCGCGTGCTGAAAGGCGCAGAGAACAATGCTCAGTAATACCTAAGCTTATGTATTAGGATTTTTAAATAGAAAAATATTATTGTTACAATAATAGATACCTCACTATTTGATACTATCGTAGAGCTTATAGAACATTCTGTTTTATTATTTGTCTTCTTTCTTTATTTTTTATGGATATCGTTTTTTTTTTTTTTATACAACTTAGAATGGCAAACAAGCTCATGGCCCACCTGATGGAAAGAGGTAACCGTCGTCTATAGATAGATCATGTCTATAGGCGACGGTTACCACTTTCCATCAGGTGGGCGGTCAGATTGTTTGCCATTCTAAGTTGTATAAAAAAAAAAAACAAAACACATGTGCAGTACCATGTACATAACAGAGTATACTGTTTCGCCCATGATACCCCCCATTCGTTGCCATTCCTAAGGACTCAGATGTTATTCCTCTGTATCCAGTAAATTCACGCCATATCCCACCCTTCAAACCGAAACACAACCATGCAAACACAACTGCTTTACGGTTGAAACACGAATGAGACAGAGGTACCCAAGCAAACGACTTTTGTGCAAAGTCTCTTTCTGGTATCTATTTTATTTTTTTATTATAATTTGTATTATGACTATAATTAGTGTTATTTGTTAATAATAATTATTTCATTATATGTCTTCTACACTGTAATAAAATTGTAAATTGTATCAGTGTCTGTCAGGTTGCTACGGCATCTCGAAGAATTGTTTGAACGGATTTCAATGAAATTTTGAATTAAATCTATCCCAATATTTCATTAGGTATATTTACACCGGGATCATTGTACAGTAGATAGAGAGAACTAAGTACTCGTCTCAAAAATTCATAAATATATATAATGAAACCTATATTTCCGATACCCCATGCATATATGGTGATTTTTTGTGGTTCTGGAGACATTTAGCTAATCCTTCAATCATATAAGATTTGATCTCTCTTAATATATAAATGTTTAGGGGAAAGAGATTATTAATAACGTCTAGAAGCCCTGTTACTAGCAATATACCTTGTCAAGTTGATCTCCACGCAGTTTCCCCTGGAAACCTTCATAATTAATTATTGTGGAATTCATTTCTATATGTTTGACCTGCTTTCACTTTCACCTATAGCACCGACGGGGTTACCATTCATTTTTACCCATTTAAAAAAAAAACAAATACCAAGATAAAGAAAAGTTTTCAAGCGTGTACGAAGCATAAATAACTTACGTCCAGTTTCCATAATGTCCAACTTGTCACCTTTGTCGGCCTTTGGAGTGTTGTCGTAGTTGAAGCAGGCTGCGGAAAAAAAAGGACAAATTAATTTTATATCCTTTACACAGGAACTAATTCGCCGCCGTGTGGTCCCGGCATAGAATGGGCCATCCTTTTTATTCCGTGGATGTCGTAAGACTAAGAGAACTTTATGGTTAACTGCGTTTTTGACCCGCTTGCCAAGCATGGCAACTACTGGCAAAACTGACAAATACCAAAAAGGGGAGCCCTATGTTCAGCAGTGGGCAATTAATGACTGATATGATGATAATGATGACACAGGAACTATGGTTAAACTGACTCGCTAACTTTTGTGTTATATGATATTGTGACTTTCCTTAGCCTCTTAAGGCAACTAGACTATTCTTTTTATACAACTTAGAATGGCAAACAAGCTGACGGCTCACCTGATGGAAAGTGGTAACCGTCGCCTATAGACATGAGCAGTACCATGGACATAACAGAGTATACTGTTTCGTCCATGATACCCCCCATGCGTTGCCATTCCTGAGAACTCAGGTGTTATTTCTCTGTACCCAGTAAATTCACGCCATATATTCTAGTAGACTACATGGTGACTTAGGTATAATACTTAGGTATATATCTAGTCTACTGACTAAGACAATCCTTTTGACGAGTCATGGTTGAACAAACGTATGCGTCATAGCCAAGCCTACGCAAAATTTGTTAAATAACTTTTTTTTTAGAGATCGCTTATCTGAATTACTAGCTGTACCCGCGACTTTGTGTGTGTGGTCGAGATAACAATCGCCTATCCTTCTTTGTACCAAATATTACATATATTACTGTGCATATAAAGATGCATTCTATAGAGATTTGTTAAGCCGTTGGAGCGTGGATGCTTGTAAGAAAGTCATAGATGAGATCATTATGATTGTTATTTGGTAGGTGTTTACAAGACATACATATGTAGCCTTGAGATTTAAAACATGTCACTATACAAAATTGGAGACGAAATAATAGATGGCGCTAGAATCAGGACTTGTGGTTTTTGTTGATTATTTTGTAAAGAGCATATGAGGCAAAATTTCTAAATTGGCGAGTGGTTTTATTCATTTTTTATCGTTATAGTAATAATTTTTCATAATTTTTGTGTTTATTCTCTTGTATTGTACAACTTTGTAAAAAAGTATATACTGCCAAGAAACATTGCAATTATAATTCATTTAGAAAAAGATCGCCTATTATTATAAATCGTCACTTTATATTTTTATTATAATAATAAGAATAATTCGACAATTTAGAAATTTTATTTTAAATTATCTTTAATTACAAAATAAAAAAATAAATAAACCACAAGACAAACCTCTCGATTTCAGCTTCATTTAATATTTCGTGTCCAATTTTGTTTAATGATCAACCACCTTAAAGGTTAAAGATTTTTTTTTAGTCAGAATAAATAATTAACAATTGCATGGCTAATTATTTAAGAATATTAATAGACATATTCAATAGCATTATCTTCTAGTTACTAATTTTAAAAACATGATTGTATCTATAGATAGAAAGATATTAAATTAATAGAATACTAGACATACATGGTATATTAGATTATCGAATAATTAGGATCATAGAAAGATTACTTTATCAATTTTCGGAAAAGTATCATTGTGTATTTTTATACATAATATTAAATTTAAGTTGTAAAAATAATTATGCACTTAATATTTATAATTTTTATAGTTTTATTAAGTGCTTACATGTTAATTACACTTATAACTGATATTATAATAATAAAATTACAAGGTACGAAAGCATATGACCTTGTAAGTTTGTCGTCACCGTGTATACTGTGACATCCATGGTTTTGTCCATGTATATAGATAACGATTATCACTTTTCGTTAATTGGGTATATAAAAACCTAATAATTTAAGTACTCACCAGACCACTACACAACTTTCCCGCCAAAACTCAAATTAGCACCAAGACACAATTCTATACAGCCAACTGTCACCGTGCCCTCCTAATATTATAATGTAGTTGGACAACAAACTGTCCCAGCTTAGTCGAAAAAATCGATTTTTCTATAACATGGCAATCAATCAGATAGAAACGACACATATAAAATATTTATAATTAACAACACTTCGTCTAACTTACTTTATTAGAACTATAAATTTTATTTTTTAACAAAATTTACGTGCAGTGACCGGTTGCAGTGTGTATCTATCGTATGTTTGCACACGAATTACGTGTAACTTATATATGTGTATGTATACGTGGTATACACTGTTGGGGCACCAGTGAGAGATGATAGGTAAGGATGAAGTTAGGTCAGTTGACCTATCGTGAAAAATTTGACAATAATTAATCGATACGATTAATTATTGTCAAATTCGTCGATAGTTTCCAGGAGGAACCGCGTGGAGGTCGACTTGATAGAGTATATTGCTAGCAATGGGGATTAATGTCTCCCTTATTAACAATCCTTCTCCCCCTTCAAGGTCGACATTACGCGCGTATTGTTGATCCTGAAACATATCCAGGCATATTTTTTACTCCATGCTGTAATCTCCTGGGAAAACCTCAGCAGGAAGCACATTTCATAACCTGAGCGTCCGCGCGAGGGAGTACCTTTAAAACAGTGAAATACACGACCATCCAAGTTTTAATGTATGGGTACTCTCTGTCGATGGCGAGCAGTACGATGGAATAAAGCAGCAGTGCCATATTTAATTATGCATCATACATATAGATCGTTATACAAAGAAATATTTCCTAATAAATTTAATCTGTAATTTTACTTGTCCATCTGATCGCTAATATAGGACAGAGACGATAAACTACCTCTTTTTATCACAGTTAAGCAATAAGCGGATAATACGTGGATAACGACGAGGCTAAGAACTAGTCAAGTATAATATAAATGTATCTTTGAATAAAAATGTAAATTTCTATATAAGCTAAGTATATGTACATATTTCACGGGCTAATGTTAATGTCTTATCTGATTATGTATTTATTATGGCTTTGTATAATCCATCATTTTCGTCTACAAAATGCATCATGGCTGTCATGATAATATTAAAAAAAAAAATATGAAGTCTGTGTTTCATCGTAATATGTACGTTATAAAATTTATAAAATAAAAAAAAGAAAAAACATTGAGTCGTTTAAACGCAATCGGATTACAAACAAATTTAATAAAAAAAATAACGATCAGTAGAATGTCTTCCAAAGTAAAAATAAAAATTAACTGACACTGGGTTCATTAGTAATTATAGGATTTTTAATGGATAAAAATATAATGGTAACCTCTGCTATGCTATTGGCTTACGCTACCTAATTCCGTTTTTTTTTTTTTTTTTAAATGCAATATAATAAATTAGTAATCCTGTCTGAACTATCAGTATACGCTAATGGGGCACTAGTGAGCAAGTAAAGCAGGTCAGTTGGCCCAACGTGACGAATGTAACAAGAATTAAGTACCGATATTTTCCACCGGGAACCGCGTGGAGGTCGACCTAACAGGGCATATTGCTAACAAAGAGACTGTTAAGCCTTAATGCTTACAATCCCTTATCTCCCACTGGGGACCATTGTAATGTAATGTCTTAATTTTAGCATGATAACTATCTACATACATTTTCTAAGGTATGATGAGGCTGACATATCCTTATAGGATAAAAGCTTCTAAATAAAAAAGATAAAAAAAATCTACATACATTTTAGAAAACATTGTTACAATTTTATGTGTAAACTAGGTATTATAACAAAGGATGCCTCAAAGTGTGGTGTGCCGTCCAAATTATACCCCCAAACCTGACAACTATGATAGGTAATTATGCGTCAATAAAATATAAAATAGGCCATATCGTCCTATCGATCCATGGGTACGGCGGTTGCCAAGGATTACAGATAATTGTAGGTATACATTTTTTATTAACTCCTTTGTGGTCTATGTAAAATACAGACATGTATCATAAATGTAACAGAACGTTTATGAACTCTATAGCTTTATTATAAGGGTCAAATGCGAATCATTCTGATAGTACCTTGGCACTCGTATAATTATAAGAATTTATAAAAGATTACCAGCTGTTACATTTTTTTTTTAATGAATTAAGATTGAATTATGCACCCGCCTATGCTAACGGTATATAATACAGGTGCTCCAATGCAATGAGGATGATGATAGGTCAATTAGCCCCTCGTGGCAAAATCGCGACAAATTAATCACGACTGTTTCGAGGGGGTGAGGGGGGCGTGTTGGTCGACCTAAAAAATGTTACCTTACCTTTTAGTTTTATAAATTAATGAAAAAGTAGTGTTGTATAATGGCGAGACAAAATGCAAAATAAAGCAACGAGAATGAAATCAGGTCAGTTGGCCTGTAAAGGGGAATTTATTAGGAATTAAAGATGGTTTCCAAGGTCTCTGCGTGACCTCCATCGCTATTTTTTTTATGCAACTTAGAATGGCAAACAAGCTGACGGCCCACCTGATGGAAAGTGGTTACCGTCGCCTATAGACATGAGCAGTACCATGGACATTACAGAGTATACTGTTTCGCCCATGATACCCCCCATGCGATACCCATAACCCCTCATATAAAATAACGCCATATCCCACCCTTCAAACCGAAACACAGCCATGCAAACACAACTGCTTCACGGTAGAAACACGAATGGGACAGAGGTACCCAAGCAATCGATTTTTGTACAAAGTCTCCCTCTGCTAATTAATGGGGACTGGCCTCCACATTATTGGGGGGAGGAGGGGAGATTGCTAGTAACGTGGACTAGTCCAGTAGATCAGTCCCATTGCTAGCAATATACGCTATCAGGTCGACCTCCACGTGGCCCTTCCTGAAATCATCGTCTTTCCATCCTCACCTATCATCCCTTACTAGTGCTCCTCCAGCGTATACCGTTAGCGCAGGCGGGGTTACCATTTCATTATTATCTATTAAAAAAAACCTCTACATTATTAACAAATCTCTAGAGAGGGTAATCGTCCCACAAAGCAAGTAGCTTCAATCTGAAATTAATTTATTAAATGAAATTAATTAATTTAATAAAATCCTATAATAGTAGAAACTAATTAGGTATCTAGGAAGAAAATAACAAGCCTTGTTAGACAAGTGGTAATAAAATCCAAAAATCCATCGGTAAATTCGTTTTTGTTAGAAGCATGAGAAAAACCATCATGCCGGATGTTTGCTGTCTCATTTCGTCTCAAGCACTTATCTAACTATAGGTAACTTTACCTCTTAACTAGGAAGGTAGTTATTTTGTGGGCAATAGAGAAAATTATGAAATTAGGAAATAAATGACTAAATAATACTAACCCGCCATTGAGGCGCTGCTCATTCTTCCGCGAGTAAAATCAATTTTGAATTTGTTTAACACGAGAGCCGAATTATTATAGTAATATATGAGTATGAAGCTTTAATAGAAGTAAAACAATGTCGTATATTTTAAATATCCAAATAATTTAACAAAAACAATATGTGATTGTAGATTGCTCTTTGATAATTAAAATCTATTGTAAATAAAGATCACAATGGATGTAATAGGCATATTTTTTTTTAAATTGTCATAATTTTTCATAAAAAGGTAAAAATGTAAATTATTTGTATAAGGAGGATTGCGGGTAATTCTTAATCTATAAGATACTTCACTACATGTTAATTTATTATATAATATTAAGCTATTATTATATAGATAAAAATAAAGTATCACTGTGACAAAATCTGAAAGGTATCAACCTTTAATTATATCCCACTAAACCCTGCACCCGAGTAGTACGCATTTCTCGCACTTCCATGTTAAATTCGGCTTGCTATAGAAGAAAGAAATATACATAAAAGATTTAAAAAATCAGTTAATTTCTGTAGGTCAAAAGCGATTTTCTATTTTATTTATGCATGCTAAATTCCTATATATTTTTACCTCAAAATTATTTTTTTTCCCTTAAATACAACACTACGAATGATATGGCAACATTTAAAAACACTGACAGTGACAATGACATATGACACTGTCAATGTTTATAGATGTTATGTAGTCTGTAACAATACGTAAATATGATTAGACATATTCACGTCATTTCGAAAAAATATTTGTAAAGTTTATGCAACTAGTTCATTGAATTTGAAAATTGTATGTTATAAAATAGCTAGGTGTTTTACAATACTTATTAATATCGATATTTTGCATAAAGACATAATACTAACAGTTTTATAATACTTAATATTCATTATTTTACTGTGTCGTTATTTCAGGTGGTAGCATAGATTAATATTCTAGTATTATTAATATAATTGTAGTGTTCACGCTTAAAGAAGTATCAAATGAAATCATTTAAAGTGACAAATAGATCAATAAAATGAAATCATTTGAAGTGACTTATAGAACTGATTGATCGTTACAGAAATTCCACATTTAATTTGGAAATCGTTATAATTTGACTAATTTAAATACTATGTCTTATTTCAAGTAATCATTACATGTAAGTACAAAAACATGTTACTTTTTGTTTCACTAACAGTAATCATGGCAAATCTAATCGATTTTGAAAGGTTATGTTTTTGTGAATATTTTAAGAGCGAAAATTGTATAAAAAAAATATTCTGCATGGCTGTCTCGTCCTTAGTTATGTTTTGGTTACGGCTATGAAATTACAGGGTACTCAGGCTATTTTGATAGGTGAGCTATGCATAAAGTGGGCTATCGGCATGGCAGTGTATTTTGTAATGTGGGTTGTCAGTTATTCATATTAACATTTTAACTATCTATCAATTTTTCCATATAATTGTTACTCCTCTGCTCTGAATATATCATTCCAAATACTTCTCACTGGAGGGGAAAGGGATTATTCGTATTGGGGTTCTAACAGCCTCATTGCTAACAATATATCCTAACAATATATCAGATCAACCTCCATATGGTTCCCCCAGGAAACCATCTTGATTAATTCTTTATAAATTAGTTACTAGTGCCCTACCAGTATATACATATAGCGTAGGCCATTACATTTTCACCCATTAAAAAAAAGATATAGTATGTATGTACCAAAGTTCATAACTATTGGTTGAACTTCAATTAATAAAACAAACACACTTTCAGATTTATAATATTAAGAATATTTTGATTATTACAAAAACAAAATCTATTTTACAGATCTTAACTCAATATGGCACCAGGTAAAAAAGGAAAAGTCCATGGAAAACGTTCTAACCATCATGTAACTAAAAATTATGCTGAAAGAATGAGTGATTTAAAGCTACAGTCTTCAGATGAGAGCAGCTCTTCAGATGATGAATCTATTGCACACATAACATTTCCAATAAAAATGTGGGATCTAAATCACTGTGACCCTAAAAAATGTTCCGGCAGGAAACTCCTCAGACATAGACTGATTAAAAACCTTAAACTTGGTCAGAGATTCAGAGGGATTGTATTATCTCCTATTGGTTCCCAGTGTGTCAGCCCAAATGATGACAGTATCATAAAAGAACATGGAATTGCTGTTATAGATTGCTCTTGGGCTAAAATTGATGAAACCCCTTTTGGGAAAATGAAATCAAATCATCCTAGATTATTACCATTTCTAGTTGCTGGTAACCCTATAAATTATGGTAAACCATATCAACTAACATGTGTTGAAGCTATAGCCGCTGCTTTATATATAACTGGTTATCAGAGAGAGGCAGAGTTTTATTTATCTAAGTTTTCCTGGGGACATTCTTTTTTAGAACTTAACTCTGAAGTTTTGGATTTATATGCAGCTTGCACTGATAGTAAGAGTGTGATAGAGGCCCAGACAAAGTATCTAGAAAGTGCTGGGGAGGAAGGGGACACTAGACCTTTATGGCCTCCTAGTGAATCAGATGCTGAATCTTGTAGTAGCTGATAGATAAATTTATTTGTCTAGTAATAAATATTTATATGTCTTGTAAATAGGATATAATTATCATAAAAGATATACAAGTTTGCATAGTGTTTGACTAAGTGCAGTTGAAAATAATTATTGTTATTAACACCTATAGTGTTTGCTCTGCAATGATAATTTATTTACAACCTTTACAGAGATCTTTATAAGAATTTATAAGTTTAAAAAAAAAAAATCATTTAGTTTTGTGTCTATTAATGGATGAACTTTGAACAGAGAGGATTATCTGCTTTACACTATTCCAGCCCCCAATGACTCAGTTATTGCTTTGAAATTATTAGTTCATATCTTATTTGGTCTCCTTTTCTTTTCATATCTGCACCTTGTCAACTACTACATTTTTGTACAATTCTTTTGTGTCTACATGTGACTAGTCCTATAATTAAAATTTATTATTTTGCTCACTACAAGTAAAATACTCATAACAAAATTTTAAAGGTTCATTTTTTACTATTAGCTAAACTTATATTAATGGCTAAAATAAAATAAATACTACATATTACTACGGAATGGATTTTGATGTATCACTATAATATACTCTAAGTGGTATCTATTTATTTGTTCCTGAAATTGTCTATGAAGTCCTAACAAATTGATAACTAACAGGAATCCCTCCTGGTGTAATTAAATAGATATACAATTATGTTACAAATCTTAAATGTAACTAAGTAAGTTTAGTGTATAAAATTGAAAATGTGATTGTGTTCTTTCACATTAAAGCAGTTATCAACAAATTTAAGAAATGGATATACTTCTGTAAATTTCTTTCTAGAAAAAGGTTTCATTTTTAGATTTGTTACATAATTCATATGAGCATAAAAACTAGTTATAACTGGAACAGTTTGACGGAGACATATCATTAATTTTTAAAAGTAGTTATGTAAATATTTATACATATGTATACCACTGATCAACTACAAAATGATAATATTATACACTTTACAATTTTTTAAAGATACATAGTTTTCTCATACTATTCTTTTTTTAATAATGTGGGTATTAATGAAATTGGTCATTTAAAAATATAGACAAATGCTCGTCTCACATTGAGGTTCCTAAGTAACATTAACACTTTACCGTTTAAAAAGTAATCCCCAGACCAGATTATCTACTAAGAAACGAGCAAAGGAAAAAGAGTTTTCAATGTAATAAAGAACAATACTAGAAACAAATCATTTCGTTACAACTTTTAGGTATTTAACTTGCTTATGCAAATTTTTTCTTTCTAAATTTGTTATAAATTTTTAACCACTTGCATCTTATCGTTTTAAAATTGTGTATACTTATGTAAATTCAGTTACAATCCAGTGTTAAAGTACTATCAAGTTGATCTAATGGTGAAGAAGGAAGGTGGCCATAGGAAAATGTGAATTCATTGAATTTGTCTTGATAAAACTATAATCCTGTATTGTACCCTAAACCTGAAAATGGCAGTAAAAACTGTTATACGATATACAAATACATAAATGGTGCCTTCTGTAATCTTTAATATGACATTTATTAATTTTCATTAGGTCGGCCTTTAGTAGGCATTCTTTTCAGTAAAACTTTTGATATTGCTTCTCCTTTTATAGTTAATAGTTCTGTAGTCAATACACAGTTCAAAAGTTAATCTGTATGTAAGAACTAGATGTTGGTATATGTGTACATATGTTTGAAATCGGTGGAATTAGAGATCGTTCAACCAATTACAATATGTATTATTTTGAGATTTCTATAGAATCTAATTTGTTGTAAGTCCTTGCTAAATGACATTGTAGTATATGAATTGTACTATGCCACCGCCGGTACCTAGTGTGAGTTGTTCAAAGAATTGCGTTCATCTATATTTGTGTATACATACGTCGTTAAATTTGTATAGAAATTGAATTTCATTAACCATCTGCTGGAGGTGTAGCACACTTCTCGATACAGAGCGAAGTAAACGCAGCGATAACATAAATCTTTGTACATCTCGATTACAAGACAGACTTTAGCCTAACTGGCGCCCTTGGGTAAATTTTTTGTCAATAACTTCTGTATCATTCAACTGATCGGCATGAAAATTTCAATATCTAATTTATAAAATGTTAACTGATGGAATATTTTAGCGCTATCTACTTTGTTGTAATTCCTCACTAGACGGCGCTGTAGCACATTAACTTTTAAACTTCTGTCATACACATCAATTATTTTTATCTCAAATAGCTTTACAGAAATTAATAAATTACAACTTACATAGAGAGAACGATGTCCCTCAAGTTTTGCTAAATAAATAATGTATATTCGTGTAATGACTAAGGTGTGTGGTGTATTAAGTAATTACTAAATATTTCATTTAAATAATGAAAGTGACTAATATAGTAAATAAAGTACGTTTTTTTTTACGTTAGTATGTTTTTTTTTGTAAAATTGTCCGAATGCTATAGTTATGCTTAGACTATATAGGTAAATAGATGATTTCCATACATTGCTTTGACAAAAACAGGTTAACTTTTTTTTATTCATAAGTGTGTGAATAGTATAACCATAATGTACATTTATTACTCAGTTTATGATGGATGTCAACTATTGAATGACTAAATTTTGACCAGTTTTTGATACTTGATTTATCTATATCTATAATCTAAGGGTACCTATATGTAACTGAAGATTGTTCGCCGTCCCCGGTGAATAAATAATAAAATGATACCATCTTTACCATAGTTTTAATATTATGCCATTTACAGATTCCGATACGTCTAATTATATTATTATTAAATAATATAAAAATAAATTACTATGTATTTTGATATGTTTAATTTTATATTTATATAGCGCCATCTAACAAAGTAACGAAACAAGCATTGAATACGAATCCCGTCTTGCAATTGAACCCATGTCCTGATATAATTCTTATGTATTCAATAGATGGCGCTCTAACCATTTTTAATTTTTAGGGATCGCGAACTTTCAAAGCGTCCGTTGCTCCGATCTTCGTTACGTTCGTTTACTACGCTTAGTTTGCTTTTGCTTTTTGAGTGTGTAAGTTGGTTATTGCCGTAAGCTGTGACAACTTAAAACTCGCGGAATAACTTACTCGTCACTTGCGATTGGATGTATAGTGAAAATATTAGTGTGGTGTGTTTTGTGTGTGTATCTTTAAATAAACTAACCCTTGTGTGGACTTAATTTTTGAAAATTTTAGTGGTAAGTTTGTTTTTTTTAGTTCGTTTCGATACAACCTGTCACGCAGGTGTCTCACAAGTCACTAACCTTTCGGATGAATAAATACTACCACAACCGTCTACTGGCACCTAAGTACTAGGTTACCAGCTTTCTATAGATTGATTTGCATCAAGTTTGATTCAGCTTTTCTAACTTTTACAGATAGATTGTTACATAGTAGATATATCTAATGAGCATACGAAGTTAAAGTCGAAAGTTATTTCCTTGATTTTTACATTTTTGCATAACATCGTCGGTAGGTACTTGTTTGGTAGGTACCTATTTTCTTTATTTGTATTATATAATAACTTTTATATCTAGTTATTTTAAAAGATCCATAGTTTACTTATCAATATCTATATGTAACTTCTAAGTAGAAAGTAGAGTCATAGAAAAATATAATTTATAGTAGAGTTTTAGTGATTTTATCTCTAATACGTACAACTAATTGTATTTTCCGAGCCATTGGTAGTTCCGTACAAAATTATTAATAAAGCGAAATAAATTTTAAATTATTTTAATTAGTATCTAACCTATTACAGGAAGGGTTAATCATCAATCAGCTTAAATACGGCACGTATTGTTTGCTACCTAGTATACCTAATTTTTTGTAGGTTATCAAATTAGGTCCTTTAATAAATAATAGGTACTATTTTTATGGTATGATAATGAAATGGTCGTCAGCACTATCGGTATACGCTAGCGGTGCATCAGTGAGAGATGATAGGTGAAAGCAGAGGGTCTACCATAAAATATTTTCGGAAATTTCGGGACAGAATGAAACACAAACTTTACTGTACAAAAATGTTAAAATATCATTCCTTTGGACTTTTATTATAGGATTTATGACGAACAAAATGTTAAGCTCCATTCACTGGACCGATTTCGGTATGAACAAAAACATTAAAGTGAGCTGAAAATTCGGAATTTCATGTCATAGTTGACCCACAGGTCAGTTAGCCGGTCTGATCAGTTCTACAAGAATTAACCACGATGGTTTTCAGGAGAAACCCCGTGGAGGTCAAATTGATAAGTTGCTAACAATGAGTCTATTAAGGGGGAAAGGGATTGCTAGTAATGAGGCTTTACCAGCACCATTACTAGCAATGTACCCTATCAGGTCTACCTCCACGCGGTTCCCTCTGGAAACTATTGTGGTTAATTCTTGTGGAATTTATCATGATGGGCTATGATTACCTGCTTTCATTCTCATCTATCATCCTTCACTGGTGCCCCGTCAGCGTATCCCATTAGCGCAGGCGGGGTTACCATTTCATTAACATTCCACAAAAAAAAAAATGAGTCTATTAGGTCCTTTGTACTAACAATCTCTTTCCCCCATACATAATAATACCTATATCTTCGGGGTGGGAGCAAAGGAATATTAGTAATGGGGTCTAACAACTCCACTGCTAGCAATACACTCTGCCAGATCGACCTCCACGCGGTTCCCTCTGGAAACCATCTCATAAGAAGTCATAGTTGTTGTAACTTATTATTCTGACTCTTTTCGTATTGGCGACATACGAAAATAGAGAATGTGTAATTTAATTTTAAACAGCCTCTCAAACAATTTGACATGGTTGTCATGAGTTCATTTTTTTTTTCAAAGATGGGAATGACGGCAATATTTATACGAATTTATTAATTGAACTTATGCTATCGAAGTGAAAATTTCAGTGATTTATTCTGCTCGGCTGGAATCGTATTATAGTAATGTGCGATTTTAGATAGCAATCATGTATTTAAGTAATCACACATCAAAGGAATTATTCTATTTGTAACACTTATTGTCTCGTAGACGTCCAGTTGACTGCATTCCATTATGTTTGGTAAGTGGTCAAATAGTATTCGATATTAGTGAATAAAAACTTGAATAATAGATGCCATACAGTTTTCAAAATAGGCAACTCACTTCTCCTAACGGTTACGGAACGAGAATGTGTCTTCACACTAGAATCTCGTATGTGTAAGAAAAGCAAAACTCAAAACGCATAAGGTCATGTACCTATTTTGGTAATAGTATGCTAAGCTATAATAACTACGAAAAAGGAATGTTGCTTTGGATTTTTTTTTATTGGATGAAAATGGAGTGGTAACCCCGCCTGCGCTAATGGGATACGCTGGCGGGGCACCAGTGAAGAGTGATCGATGAGGATGAAAACAGGTCAATTAGCCCATCATGATGAATTCATCAGGAAATAATCATGATAGTTTCCAGGGGGAACCGCGAGGAGGTCGACCTGGTTGGATATATTGTTAGCAATGGGATTCTAAGTCTCCATTACTAACAATCCCTTTTCTCCCCCCTTATTGCTTTGGTTTGGTCATTTGGAGAGGATGGATGAAAGAAGAATTACGAAAGAGATTTATCGAGCAAGAATAAATGGAGATGTCGGTAGGGGCCGCTCTAGACGGACATATATCGACCAAATAGGTGACGTGCTAAAGAAGGGCCAAATTAAAAGTACCTGTAACCGGCGAGCGTGTATGAAAAGGTTGATAAATGTGGAACAAGCGAAAGAGGTTTGTTTGAATCGAAGCATTTGGCGTTCCATATCTATTTGTTATATCCTTACTTAGCATATAGGATACTTTGTGTACTAATTTACGAGGGCGAAGCCGTGGGATACAGCTAGTAAATACTATATATGTAAATCACAATCAGGTATGTAAAAATGTCCACAATACTTGGGATATCCGTATTATATATCTATATACAGACAATGAGAAATTTATTATATATATACATTTATATATAAAAGTTTATAAAGGTGTCTGGATGTATATCTATAATTATGAATAAAAAAAGAATTAAATATAATTATTTAGGGACATTTAAATTAAGAAAAATATTTTATTAAATTAATAATATTTTTACAGTTATTATTAGTACTTATTAAATAGCCTTGAGTATAAAATGCAATATCTTTTTATTTATTCTTTATTGCACAATAAAACTTTGTACAAATGGCGAGCTTAATGCCATATGGCATTCTCTACCAGCTAATCATTATAATTATTTCAATCGAAAAATGCAATACACCTATATTTTTTTGCAGGGTCAAGTATTTAAAATGGTACGTCATGTGAATGGATTGTCATGACTTGTAAAAGTTCAATCGTGTTCGTTTGAATGTTTTTTGATTGTTTGACAATATTGTTTTGATGGAAACAACACCGTGACAGCAGGAAAGGCAACACATCAATCATGAAGGCTGTACATGGAGCTAAGTTCACAAATCAGAGTTGTTCGTGTACTTCTTGTGTATACAAAAGTGAATCTGATCACCCTTTACTGAAACGTATAAAAGCCAAAGGCTCGAGAATCGATAAATTGTATTATGGGAAGTATATTCCTCTTAGAGAAAAAAAAATATTAAACAAGTTGATAACAACTAGAGCCATTTATGATGACGCCAGAAAGCAGCTGTTATCAGAAAGTAATATTAGTATCAATAACAGTGTAAATTTAAGCCCTAGAAAATATATATATTCTCCCAAGAAGACTGATGATACAGAGAGGAGTAGTGCAGTATTGCAAATTGTAGATTTAGTTGACAGAGGAGCAGCATTAGGATTTAAAAAGTTGAGTGAATGTTGTAGCTGTTGTAATTGCAGTTCTAAAATACGCCTACAAGACTATAGATACAAAGGACGTAAGCATATTGTTCACAGTCACGTACCAGATGGTAACGATTTAGTATCGAAGTCTAGCGTGATATTCAAACGTAAATATGGTAAAAAGACGTTAAGGCGTGGCGTTCGATTTAATACTAAACATATTCAGTCTGATCCCTGTACATGTACAGCAACATTAAGTGGATCAATTAAACAGCAATCAAAAACAAAGTTAAATAAGCTTCGACAAGAACAACAGAGGAAAACTGTAGAAACAATTCCAGGGTCATTGCAAGAAACTGTTCAAAAATTTCGCAGAAAAGGTATGCTTAAAAAATCAATGCAAAAAATGAAACATTCTCAGACTCTTCATGGAGAAAGTATGAAACAACGTGCTAAGAGATCTCTTATAAAAGTACAGCACTCAAAAATAAAAATAAAACAAAAGTTGGGATCGAAAACTAGAAAATCTTTTGAGAAAATAAAATACATTAAACGTAAAGTTTTGCAAAAAGTTGATAATATACAAAAAAATGAACAAATGCTGAACCCCACTCAAAGTTTTTATAATCAAAAACTATTAAGTATAAAAAAAGACTCTATAATGAAATTTAAAGAAAAATTTAAAAAAGATGATTTAATATGTGATGTATGCTCGTCTAAAGAATGTTCGTCAGAAAAATGTTTTAAAATAATCAAATTAAGAAGATTATGCGAAGATTACCGGCAAGAAAATCGTCATAATAAAATTATGAGTGGGGTTCCTTCTACTTCAAATATTAGCATTCAAGTCCAAGAACAAGGAAAAACTGATTATGGAATTAAAAATGAAGTTGCGAAAAATGAAATAATCAAAAAGCGAGCAATTGCTGAATCTCGGACGCGTAATAATAATCATCAATCTGCTTTTCTTGTAACTGATAAGCAAAATAAACATAAAGAAACTAAAGATATAACATGCGTATGCGAAAATGTTAATTCTAAAAACACTTACTCTCAATCTAACTCCGTTAAATCTATAGCTATTATTCCAAAAAATAAATTGCAAGCTATTATCATTAATAACTCGTTGCCAAGTGTTTTTAATGTAGGTCAAGAAAGTGAGAAAGTTAAAACAAGTAAAAAAAGCAATGAAGTTGAGAGTCTTGAAATAGGTAGAGGTCGATCGACTAATCAAGAAGAAAATGAAAGATATAATAAAACTAAGTCAAAGGATGACTTGAAAATAAAGCGTCAACATAAACAGTTATCAGGAGTGACCCACAAATGCCTGTGCCGACCTAAAAGTCGGGTTTTGAAACGCTGTGTCTATACATTAAAGTTAAAACCTAAGGGTACAAAACGAAAAATAAATAAATCTA